CAGTTACAAGTCCAGAAAGAATTGGTTGTGTATCTAGATATATTACCCTATTTTTACTTATGAAGAAATCTATTCCAGTAGTGCAATTTGTTGCATTACTTCGTAATGTGATAAATCTTGTTCTTGAAAAATGTTGGATCTAATTATGTTAAAAATGATTAAAATAGCATATTATAATTTTGATGAAAAAACTAAAAGTAAAGTAATTGAAGCAAATGCATTACATACGAGTAATTGATGTTAGTAGTGACATAATTGTTGATTTGCCAACACCTGGGTACCTAAACATCCAACAACTAGAAAATCTTGTTGGTCACATAGATAATCTAGTGGACTCTCACATAGTTGCATATTCTCATCCATAAATTTGATACAAGTACTCATCTCAGGAGATATTGAAAACATACGGATTGCTGAAATATATGTTATATATATTTTGTTATATAAGTTTTCTGAATAAATATTAATATATCTTGTATATATATGATATCATATAAAAAATGAGTAACAATTTTTTTCTAAATAAAAACTTCTTATTATTTAAAAAACATTAACATCTGAATCCTCATACTTTGAACTACTTTTCCAAAGTCCCTATTTTTCCTACAGTTTGTCTTTTAAGTAATACAAAGTTTTAATTTATAATATTATAGGCCTTGTAACATATAATTGTATATTGATATTACAATCGGTATTTTTGTCGATGCTCCTGAAGTGATATCAGTATCCTTCCTAGAAAATTAATTTTGCTATATTATTATCTTATTAACATAACAAAAGGTATAAATTAATTATTGCAATTAATAAATATACTTGTGCCCATTACGTTGACTTGGGGAAACAGCTCTACTTTCACCCTCTCGAGTCTCAATATAAATGTTGGTCGCTCTACGATTTTAATTAGAGTCCTGTTTTCTCCATCCTTAATCTCCGAATCCTTCGACGTCGTCGGCAACATTTTTCTTCTCCTTTTAATAGCTAAATAGCTATTAAAATTGCAAAATTGCTTGAAAATCAAAAAATCATTTAAGCACAAACATAAACAAGCTGCCTAATTTTTAAGGGTGCGATTTCATGAAGCGAAATAACGCAACCAATCGCGAGTTGGAAATCTATGTTTATTTTTTTGTCTACGGCTGACAGTCATTTAATAGTCGAAGGTTCATCTATACATTTTTATATTTTATAGATGTTTACATGTACCGGTAACTGTAATTATTGTTGTTAAATAAAAAAACAATGCTGTATAAATTTTATTTTTATTGAGAATATTATGAAAAATAAAATAACTCATCTGCCTGGTGAGTTCCTATATAATTATATTTATAGATTTTATATATGAAATAAAAGAACTTTTTTTTGATGAAACATTTTTTATAAATTTTCAGCTGTACCATCATTTCTTTCTTATTGGATCATTGTGTTTTGTCACTTTGTTTTGTTAACAGTTATGATGGAGATTTTGTTTTTGACGATGTTGAAGCTATTGTTAATAACAATGATGTGTACGATACAGCGATTTGGGAAATATTTAAAAATGACTTTTGGGGCACTAAGTTATCCCACAAGCAAAGCCATAAGTCGTATAGACCTCTTACCATCCTGAGTTTCAGGTAAAATAATATTATTATATATTATTTAGTCTTTTCGTTCGTTGCAGTTATATTATGATAGAAAGAAGTCAGAAATTACATATAAAAATCATATAAATTTACAATATGATTATATGGAGGGAATTTTGGAATCTCTTACAAATATGTCCAAATAAATTGTTTTTTCTTCATTTGCTGCCATTCATATTTAAAAGTATAGATAAACAATTTTTTCAAAATCTATTTACAAAATAACAAATAGCTGTAAATTTTTTTACTACATTATTTATAAGATTTTATTTTTGAAATATAGAATTTATATTGACTGAGATTACTCATGCATATAACAAAAAAATAAACTAATATATTTATCAATTTATGTTGTAGGATATTAGGAAAATTTATTTATTTTACTGTATTTTTTGCGAAAAGAATTACATGTGATTTTTTCTTTTGATATTTTAAATTAATATTGCTGCAATGAGGAAACAGAAATTTTAAATACTTTTGTAATATGTGTAATATATTTTATTAAAAATATACAAATATTAATTTTATGTTTTCTTTATCTTTATAGATTTCTTTCTGGGTACGACAAGATTTATTTCACAGGACTATCACATAATAAACATAATGTTACATAGTGTAAATAGTCTGTTAACTTTATTTGTATATAATCTAATTTTGGGACCAAAAAGACAAAATATCTCATTTATGCTGCAGCCTTATTTGCAGTTCATCCAATTCATCATACAGAAGCTGTAAGAAATTCACATATATTATTATAACTTATTTATATTTAAATGTGTGTGTGTGTATCATATATTCTAATTTGCATGTGTTTTTTTATGTCAGGTATCTGGAATTGTAGGACGGGCTGAATTATTGTGCCCTTATTTACATGGTTATCAATTTTATTATACAACTGTGTAATATATGCAAAAAATGCATTTTATACATGCACTGCTATGTCTGGTTCAATTATTTGTATAACTATAGCAATGCTATGTAAAGAAACTGGAATCACTGCCATTGTGAGTTAAAACTATATTTTTGTAGTTGAATTTTTTTATATAACTATATAAAACAAATATCTTTATTATTTCAGGGTATTTGTGCAGTATATGATATAGTTGTAGTGAACAAAATATATCCAATTGATATAATTAATTTACTTTTATTTAAACATTCAAATATAAATTTAAATAATTTTATTAATTACAGAAATACAGTATTACGACTTATTATACTTGTTTTTGTTGCAATAATACTTTTATTTCTAAGATTTAGTATTATGGGTTTTTCTGCTCCTAAATTTCAACCAGTAGATAATCCAGCATCTTTATGGATAGTGTATTTTTTCGCATACTCAATTACAACTATATCTATTGCTTGAATATATGGTTTACTTATATGTCCTATATGGCTCTGTTTTGATTGGTCAATGGGTTGTGTATCGTTAATTACTAGCTATGACTACAGAATTTTTGTAGTTATTGTTTTTTGGTTAATATTTGTAGCATTAATTATGTGCCCATTTATTCTTCATAAGGATCAAACTCTGAGGTGATTGCAAAATTTTTAATATATATATATATATATATATATATATATAACCTATAAAAATGTAACTTTTACAGATATATAATTATGGGACTTGCAATGCTAATTTTTCCATTTCTGCCAGCTAGTAATATTTTCTTCAATGTTGGCTCGTTTTGGCAGAAAGAATATTGTACATTCCTTCAGCAGGATACTGTTTATTGGTTACAGTTGGCCTACACAAATTTTCTACTCGTTTTTTTTCATCTAAAGCGGTATTATTAGCTTATATAATGCTTATTTTATTATTGTTCACACGTTCCTGGATGAGAAGTGAACAATGGAGAAATGAAAACTACTTTTCCAATCAGCATTAGATGTATGTCCTCTGAATGCAAAAGTACATTATAATATTGCAAAAAATGCTGCAGATGCAGGAAACATTAATCTTGCTAAACTAGAGTATCAAGAAGCCTTGCGGTATGTATATAGAATAAATAAAGTTAAAATAAATTTTTTTAGAAAATTCTATATAAAAATTAATTATATATAATATTAATAATATAAATTATATAAAAATTATAACATACATGTTTATATAATGTACATTATATATAAAATTTTAAAAATATGCAAAATATAATATTATTTATGCTACAGATTAAATCCAAATTATACTCAAGCTATGAACAATCTCGGTAATATACTCAGAGACGACGGACAATTTTCAAAAGCTATAAGTTTATTTAAACAAGCTATCAGTTTGCAGTAAGTTTGATTACGTTACATTATTTGAATTTTAAGATTAATGTATCCAATTATAAATATTTTGTTTGTATTTATTTGTATTATAAAGATTTTATATGTATATAGATAGTGCACACATAGAGACTCTGAATTTTAGGAAAGATTTTGCTACAGCATGGATGAATTTAGGAATAATTCAATCATCATTGAAACAATACAAGGAATCAGAAAGCAGCTATTTACAGCTCTACAGCATCGATCAAAATATCCAGATTGTTACTACAATCTAGGCATATTAGTGAGTAAATGAAAATGTGATAGCAAAATATATTTTAAGGTATCTTTGATTTTGAGTTATAAATAAAAAATTTTTTTATAGTATCTGGAACAAAAAACATATGATAAGGCGCTGAAAGCTTGGATAAATGCAACCAGACAAAAACCTACACATAAACGAGCATGGACAAATATGATATTACTATTAGATGATTTAGGTTTGTATATATATTTTTAAATTAATTAAATAAATTAAATTTAAATTAATTTAGATTAATTAATTTTTTCATATGTACAATATTCATTAAATGTGCTGAAATATATAGTACATTCTAAGGACTAATGTGTATAATTTCAGATAAGACTGAAGAAGCATTAAGAATGGCAAATAAAGCTTTGCAATTTATCTCTGATCATTCTGCTATCTATTTTAACATTGCTAATATTTTGGGAAAAAAAAAAAGGGAATATGAAGAAGCAGAAATTCAATTTAAGTTGGCAATATCAAAAAATCCAATAGATCCTATGATTTATGCAAATTTAGGTATAACAAGAAAATTTATTATTCAAAAATAAAATATATAAAATCAATATTATTTGGTTAATAAAGGTAAATAAGTAGATTAAAATTTAAGTTAATTTTTTAATGGTTTTTTTAGGTGTTTTATATCATCGTTGGAATAAATTAAATGCAGCAGAAGAAATGTATAAAAAAGCATTGCAATTAAAACCAGATTTATCTAGTGCAAAGGATAATTTACTAAAACTGTACACATTAAAAACATCAATAAAATAATTTTTAATGTAATTGCTTGTTATATTTTTTTAAATACACTTGTAATATAAATAATTAAGAAACTGATAAAAACTTTATTTATGACGTTTAGGTCCAGTAGGTTTTTTACACAATAGGCTTGGTATACAAGGATAATGATATGCTTTAAAATTCCGATTTTATGACCATTAACATAATTATAAGATATAAAACACTTATTACAGAAATAACTTATACCAGTGTGGTTCTATTCTATTGTGTTCTGTTATAACCCAGTGTACATTAAGTAATCCACAATAAATACAATTTTTCCCAGAGATAGGTCTTAATCTTTCTATTCTTGGGTAGGCAGACAATGATAATGCATCATTTGTGGTCACCAACCTTGCAAAAATAATTAGATTATTAAATAAAATAGTATCAAAAATATACTCAATTTTAGTTTTTATTATATTAGTCCCTATTATTTTTAATATATTAAAAATTTTATACAATATATATTAAAAATTACCTAGCATCAGTCAGCACAATTAAATGTTCACAACAACCCTGATGTTGATATACCCATGGAAAACCAAATCTTGCACAAAGAGAATTTATTTGAGCATCCATGGTTGCAACTTTAAATGGACCTAAATCCTGCCGAGTTTCTGCCCATTGTAATATAACAGCACTATAATCAACGTTGGTTGATGCACTAATATATCTTATAAATGTATCTTCAATGTAAAAGAATCCTGATTTATAGACATCCTGTAATTAGACAGAAAAATATAGTTATTTTTTATATGTATTTGCATATAGAATATTGTGAAAGATAAAGTTCAAAATTAAATAATTACTTTTGCCATTGTTTGAGGCTTTTTTTTGGATATTTACTAGTTTCTACCATAATTGATAGATCGGATTGACACATTATCTTTTCACGTAGATCATAAAGAGTTTGACATCCTAGGATCGATATGACACTTTTAAGTTTAAGAAATGGGATATTATTTATCTTATACTTATAAAAACGAGATTGGCTTTCAAATGGCTCATACACTCTACAATAAACCAAAAATTCTTCATATGGTGTTACAGAATCATTATTGGGCCAGCTTGATTCATCATATTTCTAGAAAAAAACAAACGAATCATCTTCATATATTACTGACAAAAAATAGGTTTATAGAAATCATATATTTTATAGCAATCACATATTAAACAAAGCAAAAATATATTAATAAGCATAAAATTAACTCAATTTTGAAACAATTTTAAATATTTTCTTAAGTATCTAAATTTTTATATGTTTTCTTTCTCATTCATTTTATTAATTTTGATCTTTTTATATTTTCTGTAAATAATAATTACTCACAAGTGGAAATCCATTTTGAATCCTTGATTTTATTATAGGTTCCTTAGATAATGTCTTTAACATTTTAATTGTTTCCAACGAAGCATTATCTAATACTTTTTCAGATATGTTAGCATATTCTTGTTTTTTTTCTTCTTTTCTATTGGCAGTTTCTATTGCTAATGATAAATTCTCAATGCTGTAAAATTAATTGATTTAATATATAAAATTATTATATAATATATTTATATATCAATCAAAATTAATATTGGACGCTAGTGATGAAAATAAACTTGGCAAAATTGATTTCGACGTAACTAGCAATTTTATTCAATACTTTCACGACGTTTCGACCATTTGGTCCTTATCAAGTGAGAATTCTATAATACAATGAGAAACATGTAAGAAAAAGAGAGATTGCTGAAATGTTCTTCATAAAGAAGCATGATAATACTGTTAACCTACAGAAACACTGAGAATTTGACAAATATTTACGACAAAATAATAAAGATTGTTTAGTGATGCGTTTCAAATGTAGTCGTTGATGAAACATCATAGTGATGGGACGTGTTCCTCTTTTAACTATTAATTTTAAATAAAGATCAGTTTTATGTTGCGTTAATCTCATTTTAATTGATGGGTATGTTTGTGTTGTGGTCATAACTTAACATTTAAATATGTTCTTGTATGTTTCAATATTGTGTTATAGAATTCTCACTTGATAAGGACCACAACCAAATGGTCGAAACGTCGTGAAAGTATTGAATAAAATTGCTAGTTACGTCAAAATCAATTTTGCCAAGTATATTTATATATATTTTTTATTTTAATATTTTATATTATATTATTATATATTTATATACAATATTTTTTATTTCATTATTTGAGTGTAATATAATAATGTTCTAAGAGAAAAAATTATCTTCATTACTACTGAAAAAATAGGTTTATAAAAATCATATATTTATTTCAATCACATATTAAACAAAGCAAAAATATATTAATAATCATAAAATTAACTCAATTTTGATGCAATTTAATGAAGTAATGTTTATTATGTATCATAATGAGATACCTGCAATAATGTTTGATTAAGGAAATTGTCCCTTGTGGCAAGGGAACATCCATAAGTTGAAAAATCTTTTCTTCACTGTCTTCGCTTGTACCATGACATAAAGAGGACTTGACTAATTCACCGTATTGCTGAAAATATTCCTTTAGACTAATCTTTGGTGATGCCTGACGATCATAAAGCTTATATACTTGATCCATATTGCTATCTTGGTAAATAATCACTTATGATCAAAGCAAGTAATAAATGTCATTGCACGTGAAAAAAGTTAATCGTAATTATTAGACCGTTAATTAATCGACTGTCAATTACAGTCAAGCGCTCTCACAACCTGTGTGACGTCCCGCTAATTTTCGAAACCATCTTCTTCTTTTTAAATTCTTTTTGACCCAGTCTCAAATACGACTTTCGGCCATCAGCGGGTTATAATTGATATTTAAAGATTGAATTGATAAAGAGACACGATCACCGGATATACTTTGTAATGACAAAGGAAAAAAAATGTTTTTATACGAAACACGTCAAAGGACAACAAACTCTTCATATCTACCAGAAAAGTGGTCGTACACGCTTCGCTTTACGGTCACTTTAATAACAGCGAAACTGCACATGTCAAGCCGATAGGTGACAGCTGCGGATCGACCAATCAGAGCGCAGCGACTTATCAACTGATTGGTCGATTCATCAGTTGTCAGTTGAAGATTGACCAATCAACTGACAAGTTGCTTCGCTCTGATTAGTCGAGCCGCAACTGTCATCTGTCAACTTCACATTTGCAAATTTGCTGTTGTGAAATGACCCTTAAAAAATGCATGCGACACGAACAGACCTATATTGATTGTAGTTTTCAATCGTTTGACAGCTGCGGATACAATTTATAATCAATTCTTTATTTATAGGTTACTTTTTCAATTTTATAGAAAACTTTGAAATGTGGCAGTTTGTTTTTTATTATATTAGAAATGAATGAATATCCTTGATACCGTTGATTTACGTTTGCAAACTGCGAAACAATGAGATAAAAATTTTATACATTATTAATCTTATGTGCTGCTTAAATATCATTTGACATGGGCGAAAAATCAGAGTCTCTTGATGAAATGAATTTTACAGAACGATGTGATGGCATTAATTTTATTGCAAAGCGAGATGTTCAATTAATCGAAGGTAATATTAAATATAGGAACATATGATTTATTATTGTCTTCAATATTATACCAGATTGTTGTACAGTTATATATAAAAAATTCATGTACTTACTTTAATTAGAATATATGATATTTATTAATAATATAATACATTATTGTAGTGGAAAAATGATTATATATAAGATTATACATAAAGTAATTTATACATATACATGTGTAAATATATTTGTAATGCTGCTTTTTACTCTTTTTGATGTTGTTTTTAAAAGGAAATTGACCCTGTGTATATCGAATATTTCTTTAAATATGATGTAGTAATACATTTAATATGTATAATTTATTAATATCAAAACTTGTACTTAAGAGGTATATCAACCATAATAATTATTTTTATATTCAAGCAGGTTCGGCAACCCAAAATCTCGATGTCTTGCAAATTAAAAATAATTATTGTGGAAGTAATATATTCAGAAGTGAAAGCGACTCAGCATTATCTAGAAGAAGTGGTGGAAGATTAAAATTAGATCATCCAATGGCAGATGTTAATTTATTGACTGGATTTAACGTTGACAAATCTATTCTTAACATTCCTAATGAAAAGCTTCGAACATATCATTTATCTACCAGTGAAAGTCATCTTTTACGTGATGATGGATCTCTTCGTGATTCATTTTTCAATAATACAAGTATTTCTTTATCCAGAATACCAGTATCATCTTTAGATTTATTCCTAGTCAGAAATAAAGTTAATAAATCTGAAAATGATGTATGTGCATATAGAGATATAGCAGGAACATGCACAGATGAAGAAGAGACATTATTTAATCAACCGAGCAAGTTGAAACATATTTTATCTTCTACAAATGAAGAGGTCATCAATTTGTGTGAAGATAATATAGTAAAAGACAAACAGGAAGAAAATGATTTTAAAGAACAGACTGCAGATATTAGTACACTTAAAACAGAACAATCTTGCAATGAAATCATAGATTTACAATCACAGATAAATAACGAAATAAATGAGAAAAATCGAGATGATGAAAAAGATTTATGCAAGAAAAATGGTTCAAATTCAACTTTGGCGTTAAATGCCCATGTGCAAAATAGTTTGACATCTCGACCAACATTAGCTGACGACAGTAAACTTGTTAAAATGTCGCTCCTAACAAATCCGAAAATTTTAATACAATCAAATGTTCAACTTTTGAATAAAAGTCGTAATTTTTTCAATTTTATCACAGAGAAATCGACAAACATTATGGAAAAAGCTCTACTGCCGCAGCATTTGGCAATGAAATACAACCACATATCAAAATCCATTGAAACAAATGCTATGATGGGATTTTATATTAATAACAAATCTTCTTTGAAAGATATAATCGGAGAGACTAGATTGAATACAGATTTAACAATGAATTCGAGTAATACGACAAATTGTACTGTAGAACCAAATTGTGACAAGAACAAAGATAAGTTAAATAGTATGAAAAATAGTGAAATTGAAATAAATCAATCTACATATTTAAAGGAGAATAAAATATACGATAATTTGAAAAATGCAGAATCACAATTACATGAAAATTTTGAGAAAGCATCAAACGAAAAAAATTTATTTTCCAAAAAGATGATGTAGATAGATTAGATTGCGATATTATTAGTGAAAAAGCACAAGATGTGTTATTATCAGAAATAAGTAAACATGAAAGTCATTTTCTGTACAAAGAAAATGATAAGCACGAAGAAAATTCATCTGAGCTTAATAATTTGGTAGAATCAAATATTTCATCATTAGCCTTCTTGGAACATCCATTATATCTTAAATTATTGGAGGACTATACTAGTTTGAAAGACGAGAATGCAAAATTGTTAGAAAGAATGCAGCATTTAGAAAAGTCAAATCAATTAAACCAATTATTTTGTGAAACTCCAACAAACACAGATACTTTTACTTTAGAAATGGAGAACATGAAAAAAACCATAAGTAAATTAACAGTTGATTTGAATACATCGCTAAATATGCAAGAAGCTCTTAAAAAGAATGTCTTGCATTTAATAAGGAAAAAGAAGACATGATTATGAAATATGTAACTAGCGAGAAACAGTTAATTGATTCACAAAGGTATGTATAAGAAAAACAACTGTATAATTTGATATTTATATTATTTACTTCTTAAACATGATTGAGAAAAGTAAAATCTTAAAAATTTTTTGAAAATAAATTAATTAGAAGCAATTGTATATTTCAAATAAATTAAAAAAGGACATTTTTTTTAATAAATTGAATAAATTTTTTTCAAGTACTTTTCATATTTTTGAATATTGTTACTTTATCGATCACATATATATAAATTTTGAGGAAAAAAATCAGACTTGTCATAAATATATTTAAACTTAATGATCATAAATCAATTGATTAATCATTTGTATATTAAATCACATCCATAAACAAATATTTGTAATGTATGTAACAGAGCGATAGATTGCGCGGAACGTAAAGTTAAAGAACTTTTAAAAGATCAAGAATTATTGCAAAACAAGTTGCGTCAAACTCAGGGTGAACGAATAAGAATATGTAACATCATGGATGGAAAATGTCGTGAGATTGTTGATCTTCAGAAGGAATAGATAAATTAAAGGAAGAGACTAAATCTAAGGAAATCAAACTGAAGTGGACACAAAACAAAGTTAAAACTGAAATGGACTTACAGAAGGAAACTCAACAGAAATTAGATAAAGCCTTGGTAAATATATATATATATATATATATATATATATATAGATATTATATGTAATAAAAAAAAAACTATAATATATTCATTATTTTTTTATAATTTTATTTTTATATTTTATTTATTTATAACATTCCTATTTTATAATATATTTTATTATATATAATTATAATATAATTTAAATTATTATATTATTTATTATAATTATACATATATATATATATATATATTTATTATATATTATATATTTTATAATTTAAATTATTTGTGTTGCAGACGAAAATAAATGATATGAGAGAAGAATGCGAACAGATACGTCGCGAAACGCAGGAATCATTTCGGAAATTTCAACAATCTGAAGAGAATAAAGCTGTGACATTGGATCAGCAGTTAAAAGAACATCAGGCACGTTTGATTTTAGAAAGACATGTTACAGAAGATAAAGAAACGTTGAGGCTCCAATTGCAAAAGGAACTGGAAACATTGAAATCTAAACAACAAAATTTAATAGAAGAAAATAATAGACTCAGCCTAAAAGTACAAGAGTCTGAGAAAGCTCGATTGAACAATGAAAATAATTTAAGTGATTTGAAAATTGTTGCAAATCAACGTCAGGAACAAATTACTGAATTATTAAACAAAGTTTCTCAGTTAGAGGCATTAAAACTTCAGTTGCAACAGTAAGTATATTACATAGAGAATATAATATTATATAATACATATATGTTATTAGTAGAAATAAATATAATAAAAAAGAAAAAATGTAAAAATTAACAAATTTTGCAGAAAATATGGTAAAAATTATGATATTCAAAATATAAGCCTTCATTTTATTCAGATATCTTTTATTTACAAAATTATCTCTTTAATGAATTTGACTTAAATCTTAGATTATTATTATAACTGAAATTTGTAACATTGAATGAAATCCTAACGTTATTGAATAATACTTATGCATAATTACAATTTATTTTATATTGTAGCAAAGAAGAGTGTATAGTATCGGCTGAAGCTCAAATACTACAATTACGATCGGCCAACGAGGAGTTGCGATTTGATATGCAAGCGTGTCGTCAAAAGGAAGCGAATATGTTAGATTTTACGCAAAAACTGACAGACAAAAATGTACGTCTTCAATCCGAGTTCATTACGATTCAAACAAAGGCGAGTGATCTCGAATCCGAACACGGTCCACTACACGATTGTATCAACGAATTGACTAATAAAATCAAAGTGCTGGAGGAAGATTTGACACAAGAACGAAAGAAACGAAAAGAAGAATGCGAAATTTTGGCTAAGCATGTTGCTGAACAAACTCAATGTGCACAAAACTTTGTCCAGAAATTGGAGGATAGTCAAGGTGAAAATGCAGTATTAAAAAGGAAACATCAAATTTCCATAAAGGAGATGACACGAGAATTACAACAATGTCGTAGAAAATTAGAGATGTTAGAAGCTGCATCTCCCAGTAATTCATTGGACATTACATCCAGAACTGGATCTAACGCTTCTTTAGCAGGTTTGACAGATTTACAATATTTGGCTCCTCACTGATCATATTGGAATTGTGACGTCAGAAGCGAGAAAATACGCTTAAAAAATTCTTAGATGCCATTTTGAAATATTTTTTCATTTTAAAAGTGGCATCTAAGAATTTTCAGCGTGTGTTTTCTTGTCTCTGACGTCACAATCTAACATGACGAGAACCCAGAAGCCTTAACAAGTAGATTTGAGCTGTATAGGATTTTGATATAAGAAATTTTGTCTCTTTTAGGCGATACATTAAATGGTGCCTTATCGGATAACAATGCTAATGATCACAATGCTGATGATCACATTCACTCTATGGAACCTAATAAGCAAGCACTAATAAATCGCATTATGAAGCTGCAAAAAATAAATGTAAAAAGAGCTGAAAAATTAGATTTTTTGGAAGAACACACACAAACATTGCTCGAAGAATTACAGAAAAAAACAAAAATAATACAAACTATATCTTACATGAAGATTTTGGAGCTCTGGCATGCAATGAAAGAGATAAATATAAGGTAAAAGGAAATACTTTTTTTAAATTGGTTTTATTCTGTCTTACAGTAAAATATATTTTATGAATATCGATATATGGCAAAAATAGTTGAATAGTTTAAATTTAATTTTTTTTAATAAAATTATTTAAAAAATATAAAAATTAGTTATAATAATAGAGTCTTTTTTGTATCCAAGCATATCAAAAGAAGAAGAGATACAGTAAGGGTAAGAAAATGGATTTTTAAAAATAAATTAACAAGTTTAGGTTAAACAATTATATATAATTTGCATACACATATATATGTTATGTATATATATATATTTTTTTTAATTTTTTTATGTACAGGCGGAATTGGCACGACATGGAGGTATAATGGCATCCGTTTATAATCATCAAGTTTCAGATGAGAATATGACTTTAGAACTTTCTTTAGAAATAAATCAGAAATTACAAGCGGTTCTAGAAGATGTACTATTAAAAAACATTACTCTGAAAGTAAGTATATCAAATATAAATTATATAGAAATACAAAGTTTAAAAATTCGTTTCTCGAATTGATTAAAATTGTGAAAGAAAAATTCATAATATTTTTATATATATGTGCATATCAACATAAATTCAAAATTGTTTGAACCTCTTAGATATTTTGAATATAATTATTCTTGTATTACAATATATTTGATTAAAAATCTAAATGAATTTTTTCTGCTCCAGAAAGTGAGTTCTGTCATAGAATAGCATTCATTGTTTTTAAAAGAAATATAACGTTGCTAATTTATCAATATTTCTTATTTTTATACTTTACAGGACAATATTGATACATTAGGTAACGAGATAGCAAAATTAACAATGAAGCATCAACAAAAATAAATTGACAATTAATAATTAATAGTTGTTACATGTATATAGATACTTACATCCACAAATATCATCATATGTTATATATTGGTGCGAGAGAGGAAAGAGAGTTAATGGTATTTATATTCTTATTTTTAAATTACATTTTCTGTTATCTAATATTATATAATTCTGTAATACATGTAAATATTCCTTTACTTAACAGTGTATACTTCTGACTTAATGTATTTAAAAAATATATCACATAATATATTTATAAAATAGGAATAAAAATCACTAATAGAGAATCAATTTGTATTATCATATGTCCTTACTTAAGATGTGATATAATTTATTTAGCTAACAAAAATAATTTTTCATGTAAAAATATGGAAAAAGATTTTATTATACAAAGTTTAGTGTTTTCAAAATAAATAGCTAAGATAAAAGAAACTAATCGTTTCCATTTTATTTATATTTGGAGGATTTTTAATTCAAATTATTAGAGAATATAATTATGAATAATAAAATATATATTTGAAAAATAAAAATAACTAATCATAAGCTTAATATAAATCGCTATAATATTGTCAGACATTACAATATTGTAATATATTCTTAAAGTCAGCCTTTGAATGTCTAGTTTTAGATGTTTAGAAGGAAAATATAATAAATTATCATCAAGGAAGAAAGGTGTGTCTATATCTATATCAAGATATTATAGAATAACGGTTTTTGGTATCTGGTAAATAAAAGTTTATTTTGCAAGTTCAACTAGATTGTTTTAATTTTTTAAAGTACTTATATCTAGAGGCACTAGTCAAGCTTAAAATCTAGCTGACTACGAATTCGCTCGACAGTTAATACTTGATTTATATGCTCAGGGAATCTCGATCATAAATACATAATACTTGAGCATAAACGGATGAAAGATTGTAATCGAAGTAAAATCGACTAAAACTATGATTAATAATCGCTAAGTTTACTTTGAGTATTTTTTTTATACACTTTGAATTTTTTTAATGAGCTATATATTATCACTATGATGTGTTTTATACGTATTGCATTGTTATCGCGATATTATATAGTGCGATAATAAAATGCAATAATGCATGTCTTCTGTACGTAAAATACTCGCAAATACTTGCGTTACGTGATGGAAGAAGAGATCAAGAAAACCAATAAATATAGTTTTCTTCTAGATTATTAAGATTATTATTATTATTATTATTATTATTATTAAATGAGAGATTACCGCTATAAAAACTGGACTTGTTCTTTGTATTGCGCATTTAACGCTAAAATATCATCTATATATTTTTCGACAGAGCAATATTTCGATATCTACAATCATCTATACCTAGCTAAAATTCTGTTCTTTAAATAATCGCGATAAAGTTATAATGAAGAGAGCATACGCTATAAATATTTCAATATACTGATAATCTAATACCCGCAATAAATATAATAAGAACGCTTGAGTTTCATACATTTTTACTTATGTGTTTAAAGTGTCATATATATATGTATGTATATGATAAAAGAATTGCTATAGAAGTAAATTATTGCCTGTTTGAAATTTTATATCATTTCATATAATTTTTATAATATAGAATATTGCAGCTATATTCTATGATTGTATTTATATATGTGTGATAAAATATGCATATCATTCTTAAATTTTAAACCATGTTTTACAAGTACAATTCTCTGTGCAAATAATAACTTACAAATGGAAACTGAAATAAAAATTTAGAGAGAACATTTTCACTTCATACTTGGTGTCCTATAATTATGACATTTTTCATATTATATATGTTATTCCTTCTTTCTAAACAAGCACTATTTAGATACATAAATGTATTAAACAATTTCTCTACTTTTTTTTTATTTTATGTGCATCCTTTCTGAGAAAGCAAGATTATTATTATTATTATCACTAGTTTCAAACAGGCATATACACCTTCAAAAAACTCCAATCTATTTACTGTATGGAAAGCCTTCTTAATTAATTATTTCTGTACATTCTATTCGTGAGATTGACAATATTTTAATATTTTATTCTTATTAAAGAGTTTCAACGCGATTAAACGGTATATTCAATTAATAATTGAGAACTACGAAAATATGATAAAAATAAGTTGTTACATTAAAATTACGGAGAATGTCTTTTTTTCATCATTGAATAAAACATAAGGAATAGAGAACGTGTAAAAATAATTGTTTTAGTATTCTGCAAATACATTTTCAAATAAATAACACATTTCAACTAATTGCAAAATAAATATACTATTTTACAGAATGCAATAAACATAAATATTTTATTAATTGTATAAGATTATTTTTAGATTTTGGATAAACAAAACAAAAAAATACAAACGTAAAATTCCGGAGTATCAATTTACACTAAGCAACAAATGCATAATTATACGAATTATGGTAAACATGTATGGTAAGAAAAGGCATCGTACTATTTATGGAGAAAGAATATTTTTCAGTATTATATCACTTTTTTTGTTTTTCATGTATATATGTTGTGTAAATAATACACTTGCATATTGTGAAAAATGATTAAATTCATTAATGATTAGATTAAAATATATATGTGTGTAGTATTGCTAAATGCAGCGTTAAAACACTCTTTCTATAGATGGTACGATAACTCTTTTGATTACCAGCTTGTTACATTATAGCTTGTTACACGCGTGATTTAGTGCAGATGTACATTTAATTTCGCTGCCGCCATGTATCGAAATCTCTGTTGTCATTCTTTTTTCTTTTGACTAAATATATTTACTAAAATATAGACAGAAGAATAAAGCAAAATTCGTTGGTGTGGTTGGCATAAATACAATACTGATATCACATATTACTTCAACATACGCGAGCTAAATTATTCATTATCTTATTTCGCAATTTGTCAGATATGCGCACGAGAGAAGAGAAACAATTCGAATACATCCTATCTATATTTATATAGAAATAAAATAAGCTAGCTCGGATGTCGTGTATAATTCGATAATTTAACCGCAAAGAACTTTTAAATTAAACGTATAATTAAATTATTACATCGATTAAATATAAAATGTACAAAACAAAAAAACGTTTGCATGTAATGTTTATCGTAAAAACAATTATATATGTAACATATATTTGTAATTAAGTCTCTTTTATTATCCAAACGCAGAGGACATACCTATCCGAGAAAATCATACTTATAATATTTTGCTTTAATAATAATCTATATACAATAATTCTAATGGAAAAAAATATATTTGGTGTTCTTCCATTATATTAAATTAAATCAAACAAGTTCTTTATGCAAAACTGGACCAGCACCGGGCAGTGTGTCATTACGGCAGAATTGCATTAATCATAATACTGGCACAGTGAGGCAATGACCTTAGGATTCTCTAAATATACTCTATTAATACTTAATAATCTGAAAAACTATGTTGTAATCATACACGTCGCGTAATTATTATCATATTTTTTTTTTAAATATACCATCCACTTCCACATATTTACTTAATTCCTACGTATTTATTTGAATGCATTGAAAGTAATAACAATCAATTACTACATTAAATCGGCTGTGGACAGTTGGTATACAATTCTAATTTATACTCTCACGTGCGATTCGTTCTTAATTCGCTGTCAAAGAGATTTTTTTTGTATGCAATACATCTTTAAAACGCAATATTTTTTGATAACAAACATATGCATTGAAAGCTAACAATTAGATGTATTTCTGAATGTAATACTAATTCTAAGCGAGAGTAAAATAGATAAACGAGAAAACGCTTACATCGCTATCATATAATGGAAAATTGAAATTATTATTCAAACTGACGATAGGAAATTCTGTCCCGCCTCTTTCGCCTAAGCTTTGCGACGAAGTTGGTATCTTGTACGATTAAGATCCATTTTTCAGATCTGAATCCAATCACAGCCGTTGAGGATGCAAGGTGTATCGCAACTTAATTTGTTGCTATAATATCTAATGCCCTACTAAAAGATCCCAGATAGCATTCCCATTTATGAAAAAAAACAAAGTTTTAAACTTTAGATATTTTGAAACAAAAATGCAGACTTAAGCTTGTTAAGACCGTTTGAAAAAAAAACGAGTTTTCATACACACTTATTCAAAGATATGTTTGTGCATGATATACGATGTTCATGTTTTACACTTATAAGTATATATTATTAATGCATTAACAGTTGACAAACTGCAATCCTATTAAAAAAAATTGCAATTGTAAAATTTGCGTATCTGAGGAATATTATCTGGAAATGTGTTGTAGGTACAATACATTCATATATAAAACACTAGTGTTGCCTTTTAAACTATATTTTAATTCGAAACTATATTTATGAAATTGTTCTCCCAGGATTAGTCGCCTATATTATGGAAATGGACAAAAATATCTATTTGATGAAAAATAAATAAATTAAAAAATATAGAAAAACGTTTACAAAATAACAAACTATTCTGAATAAAAAAGAATGATTTAAATGTAAATTTTTTTTCTTACTAATTTTAAATGTTCAATGTAAATAGCGCATCAAAAAAGAAAAATTTTAATGATGAGAAGCAATAACACGCTACATGCACGCGAGCACACATACATACACATTACAAACTATATATTAATATCTAATCTAAGAAATTTTATACGGATATGTGATATAATGAATGAATCAACTTTTTTATCAACTATCGCTATTGATACGTCAAAATAATAGAAACTTCTGGTGCATTCTTGTCTATCGACTATACTGTAGAGAACAAAGCTGTTAATAATTATAAATATTTTTCGTAATATACTTTGAACACGATAAATATATTGAGATCATAAGGCGCAAGATTAAGAATACATGCGCGAAATCCTACGATTTATGCTTTACTGATACCAAATTCTGCCATATTATGACACGCCGAACGAGCTATCTATTTTGCACTAGGAACTACATATTCCATGACTTGATTCTTTGCATTGTTTCGCCTGATATTAATACTATTACGATTTAGTCAGATATCGACTTCAAACATGTCTTGCTCAATCGGCTTTTTCACCCAACTTCCTAGTTGCGCCCTCAGGAAAGCATCCTTCAACTGACGCTTGGCAAGCTATTTGAGAAAAAAAAGAAAAAGAAAAAAACAGACGAAATATCATGTGTACCATGCATTAACATACATCTTACACACATATTATTATTATATTATACATATAAACATGATGATGTAATAATGACTTACCGAATAGTCTTGTACTGAAGATTTTGCATCAAAATAATGACGACAACGATTCTCATCAACATCATCTATGGTTGGAAGTTTACTTAAAAGATTAAAGAATCTTCTAAAGAATGCTTGTTTAGATATTCTAGATGGTTTCCCCAATTCATCTTTACCAGTTGTGCAATTTATGACTTCAGCTTCATTCTGTCCTAAAGTGTGTAATAGAAAAAAATAAAATTTAGGAAATCTCAAACAGCAAACTGACGTCATTAAATGTCAAAATGACATCATTTGTTAAATTATATCATTTTGACATTTAATGACGTCATTGGACATCAAAATGACGTACACTTGCTACCTGGAATGTTTGTTAAAGAATCTTATATATTTTAACTTGATAAAATCGAAAATATATATTTAATACGAACCGATCGTCCAATTGACGCTGTAATTAGGTGCTTTTCCCGGTTGTCTGACTTCGGAAGATGTGATTAAACTCATTAACGGTTTATTGAGTCTGTATGGCGGTGGCAAACCCTGGATAGTGTTTTCAATACGACCGCAAACTGCCCTGTACATGTGACTCGGGTTCAAAAGACTGCCGAGAACAATGCTGTGGAAGTAAATTGGCTCGATGAAGTGGCTTAGAAGTGCACCCTGCACACCAAGTACGTTCCATCGAGCTATTTTGTCCGAACACGACATCGTCAGCAGTCTTTGACCCTGAAAAATTGAACAAAAATAGGCTGGTAAGTATAATCGAATCTTTTATAAAAATACATTGACATTTAATTTTCACGCAAGTAATACATACCATTAGTACGCCATCCCAAGTTTGAATACCCTCGTTACTCTTCACAGGAATAGTTCCTTCGCCAGATTCTATCTTGGTGCGTAATTGACCCCTAGCTCGTCTGTTGGGATGCTTATCTACAGATTCGTTTTCTTCGTGAGGCGAGAAAATTCTCGCGTCACCACAGGGCGCGGTGTTTATATATAAGTGAAACTGGATGCCTTGTTTTAATTTGAATCCTTTCTTGACTGGCTCGAGAATAGATTCCACACTTTTATCTTCGGTATGCAATTCTAATTGTTTGTACAGATATTCACAGAGACATCGCCGTGCTACCACTTCCGCGTGACAATCGTTCACAGCACCACCACTGACGCTCAAATGCTCGCCCGAAACGCATTTCGTACCTTTTGCCAGAAAATATATTTTAAATAAATAAAGAGGAATATATTCTAATAATGTTTTATTTAAGATTCCTGGTTCCTCACTGACCATGTCAGATTATGACGTCAGAGGCGAGAAAATATACATTAAAAATTCTCAGATGCCATTTCGAAATATAAAAATATAGCTTTCTCGCCTCTGATCACAATCTCGCAATCTAACATAGCGAAAATCCAGAAGCCTTGAGTATTATAAATTTGAAACAATGCTTTACCAGTGGTGACACATATCAATTCCGCGTCTTGTCCTTTGGTTTGTACAATACCGGCCAAAACTTTACGCCTTGCGTGTTGCGGTTTGCTTTGAATGAGCTCGCTGAACTTCTGATTTACCATCTTGCCAATTCTGTCAGCCAGCATTTGCGGCAAGCTCATTTGTTCCTGCCAGTGCGCTGAATTTGAATAACTCGGTAGAATGCGAACGGGTAGCGGTATACAAAACGAAGAACTATGAACATTTCGCAATTTCGCTAGAGCAGCTTTACTTGCCGCCGCTTTTGCCAGTTTCTTACTCGGGCCAGTTCCCTCGAATGTCTCTCCATCAATAGTCACGGATATCGTGAACTTGGCGTAACTCTCTCCGTTATCGGATATGCAATTATATATAACTCCTGGATATAATTCATTGATCAACGCAACTGGACCTTTATCTAAAAACTTATTCGTATTCTTTGGCTCCTGCGTTAACGTCTTAAATGCATTGACAAGATGATTATCACGTTCTGTCACGTCGCTCGTAAAATCCGGCTCGACAGGCACAACAGGCTGGCAAGTATTAATGGCTTGATGAACCTCAGGCGTATTCCTAAACTGAATAATATTCCGCAATGCGAGTTCAGCGGCTGCGTGCTTTGCCATTTTCTTAGTACGTCCTTTCCCTTCGTACGTCTGTCCATCGATCTGTACCGCAATTGTAAATATTGGAGCATGAGTAGGTCCAGTCTGTCCCACCACTTTGTACGTAGCTCCAGTTTTTAGCTCGTTTAATGCGCATACTGCATTTTTTGGTTGTGGATTTTTGTGACGTTTCTTCGCACTGGTAACATCTAATAAAAAGAAAAAAAAATAAAAATTTATAATTGCAATATTGTAAAAATAAATGTTAAATAACATTGAGTACATATAAATCCAATTGATTCTTTTAAACAAGTTACACAATATGTATTATTTATTACTGACCTTCTAGATCTACTTCCGATGATCTTTTAAGAATAGCTTTTGGTGAATTTCCTTGCCCCATCTGCAAAACAATTCTATGAAATTGTGATGTATATTTTATTTCACATAAGTAAATTAATAATTCTTCACTATAAATTTTAAATTTTATTTTCAGTTTTATATCAGCATAAAAAAATCAGAGATACAAATTAACAGAACTTTGTAATAAATTTTAAAAATTTCTAACATTTTAAGTTTATCTAATTTGTAAAGTAGTTTCTTTTTATTGTAAAATCAATTGTGATAATTTTATAAAATTTGTTAATTTAAAGTAGATTCCATGTTGGCTTTAAAATCATTTTTAATCTTTAATGAATAATCAAAGTATTAGCATATTATTTGTATAATATAGTAATATTTTAATGCTTAGTATTCTCTATGAGTTCTGTTAGATAAATATTTTTCGTTTTCATTTTGTTCTACATTAATGCAATACATAAATAAGAATTTAATAAGAGCATTTTGGAAGAAATAATTGATATACATATTAGGGAAAAAAATAAAAAATCTGCATCATACAAGTTAAATCAGCAAATGACACAAGAATAATATGTATCATGATCCATATTTCTATAACTTTGGAATTGCATTATGTATACAATTCTTTATATTAAACATTAACAGGTTTGAGTGGAAGTGACTCTTATCTAAGAACAGTTAAAATTATTCCTCATAAATTTGTATTTCATTAAAATCCATGATATCTTAGTCAAATGTTAAATCCAGAAATATATTTAAAGTAAAAGAAACATGTGAAAATTCACAAGAATTACAAATTATACTGTGCGCTCAAGTTTTTATTAACAATAAAATAATATTTCGCTCTGATTACGTGTTAAATTTTATAAAATCTCTTCTATGCAATTTTAAAATATCTATTAATAGGATGGTGGATGGAGGGAGATCTCACACATACATACACACACACACACACACTCGTTTCTCTCTTCAAATCAGCAGAATTATTAATTCAATGTCAAACTTACCAAGGTTGTATGACCACTCTGCGAATTTTCCAACAATGTGTTACCGTTAGTGGGAATCATAGATGCGTTGCATTCTGAAAAGATGAAAATACGTGAGACGCCGATATTACGCGAGTGCCATGCGGAAAATCAATAGAGCCGTTTCTCGTACTTGTCTGGCTCGATTGTTGGTTGTTATTTAAAAATGTTAGTCCGGTTGACATGATGCGCGTCTCGGTCACTTAAAAAAAGGGAACTTAGAAGTGCGTCGAGCGTGCGGATGGGTAAATGAGTCGCGCGTCCGCGAGAAGCCGCTACGTATTTAATACATCGATTTTAATTATTCTGGTATCCCGAAAATCCGCAGCGCCATTGCCGTGTTTTTTCGCGCATAATCAACCTAACCTAATCCTCGGCCTGGCCCACTCTCTCCCTCGCTGCACTCGAGAGCATAACTTTACCGCACGCGCTCGATCTGTTATTGCTGCAGTTTTTACGTTCGTCCTTTTTCCGACACGCAATTTTTTCGGGGCAGGTTCGAAGGGACACGACGAGAGTTCGCGATTGTTATTTGGATTAACTCGGGTGAATTTAAACCTGCGAAACCCTCCGTACTTCCGTACATCGCTCGCGTTAGTAACGTCTTCGAGGCGCTGCAAGCGACACCCCTGCAGTGGGCGGAGGGTTGATGCATTTTGTGTGGAGGGGGAGAGGGTAGAAAAAATAAGGAAACTCGAGCCGACCACCCGAGATGGGACGTTTGAACATTTTTCTAAGAGCAACAGAATTTTTTGACACGAGAATACGAAGCTGTCGTCGCGGTTAATCGAACAGCTGATTTTTGACAGCTGTCAAATGTTCAAGTTTAATCTTATTTTGGTCTCTTTATCGATGTAACTGCGTTAATTATTTTGAGCGAATATATGTGTGTCGAAATGCACCTTTCTCTTGTTTGTTGCGAGCAATAAACTGCATTGTGCTCGATTTCTATATATTATACAGGATAATATATATAAAATACACATGACATAGCCTATTTTGCGACAAGGAGGTGCCGAGAACTTCGGAGCGCATCGGGTAGATTCGGCGCGACTCGGAGAGCCAACCAATCACCATCGAGATGCAGCCGAGTTGAGTCTACTCGAGAGAAACCGATTTATATTTTATTATTTGGTGGATATAAAGTCAGATTCCGAGATGTTTCACATTTTTCGAAAGCATTTTTTATACAAGTACACGAAGCTGTCATCGATTTGTTGAACAGCTGATTTTTGACAGCTGTCAAATGTTTTAGTAGAATCTTATTTTGGTAATGCAGATTATTATTTATATTCTCTCATTATTATATATATACTTCATCAATGCAATTATATTATTTCGAGCGAGTATATATGTGAAATGCACTTTTCTCTTGTTTACTGCTTGCAATAAACTGCATTGTGCTCGATTTTTATATATTATGTATATAATGTATATATAAATATATATATATATATATATATAAATATATAAAATATATAATATATATATAAAATATATAATATATATATGTATATAAAATACATATTAAATATTAATATATACTATATAATATATATAAAGTATATAAAATACATAGTCTATTTTTTGTGATAAGATCTTGAGAACTTCGAAGTGCATCGGGTAGATTCGGCGCGATTCGGAGTGCCAACCAATCATAATCGAGTATGGGGCCGAGTCGAGTCTACTCGAGAGAAATCGATCTATGATGAATTTATTATCCATGGTTAAAGCCAGGTTTAATTTGCGCGCCTTATTTGCTGCGCCATATGTACTGCGCAGCTACAAGGAAGAGTCGTATGTTTCCTGGCGGCTGATTTTGTGGTAATTTTCTCTCGTTAGTAAGTCAATTTTAAAAGTTTACCGATACACAAATTATTTCTTAGCAGATTTTGTATGCTTTAAACTTTAAAATTATATCGACAAAATTATATTGTTCTTATTTACTTTTCGAGATATAGAGGTCTATTTTGTAACCTTCATCAATGCGTCTTGTTATGTATCATGGCGCAGCTTTTATTTGATACAATAAATCTGCGCAGTGATGCATAACAATATTTGTTAAAAGTTACAGAATAAACCCCACAGAGTTAACGCTAAAAAAACTTTATGAGATCTTTGCCGACCTCGCACATTTTTCACAGGTATTCAAGTTTTAGGGCCGATTTTTCCAACTTCTCGGTATTTTTTTTATCTCACAGACAACATTTTCGTCTTCAGATAATAAGTTCTACAAAAGGAGATAAAGATATATTATTTGTCGACTAAAACTTGCCAAGAGTTGGAACAACCGGCCCTTATAACCTAAGTTCATATTTTTCATAATTAATAATTATTCTATCAAATTAAATTGTTATATTCAAATGAAAAATTAAGAAAAAAATATACATATATATAAAAATATTATAATACATATATGTGCATATATGTATATATATGTGTATTATGTATATAAATTGAATTTTATACATAATATACATATAAACTTGTAGTGCGTTTAAAATAAATATTGACTCACATGTTTCAGTAAATTATAATTAATTTTTAACTTGTACATATTTTATTTATTCATATATAGCAAGCAATTTTAATATAAAGTGTTATTTTGATAAAATTATTCAATTGTCACTCTCTTTGTACATACACACATATACTTTATGTGATATTTTTAACCAGTTTGTTGTCATATCTAAACAAAATTATATAGATGATCATTTAGATAAATCTTGACGTCATCTTAGCTTTATAATAGATAATAAAAATATGTATTATCTATATCTGCATTTCTTGGATGAAAAAAGTATTACTTTTACTAAATTATCTAGAATAATTTTCAGATAATTTTGGTTTAGAATTATATTTTAGAAAAAAAATACTTAAATAGTATAGAACTTGAGCAGTAAGCAATAAAAATTTATAAATAAAAATATGAATATATATATTATATCCCTTTTATAATTTACATTTTTTTATAACTGCGTTTACATATAAGCAGTCTTAAAAATTATTATCCAGATGAATCGCCATATAATTTTATCTTTTATCTAGATCTATTTAAAATAAAATCATCTTTATTTTATCTAAGATAAATTTACATATTTTTATCTCATCTTTATCTAACTAATTTTAAAATTATCTAAGCACAACACTGTTATTAACATACATACAAAAATAAATATACAAAAAAACACATGATTAAAAATTAAATTTATCATTGTAATTAACAAACCCAGAAAATAATAAAATATGTACATTGTAAAATTTATAAATATAGGATATTTTTGCTTTTACTTATTAACACAACGTAATTAAACAAACCCAGAGAATAACAAATAAATATATATTTATCGCACATTTTGTATAAATATAAGATATATTCCTGCTTTTTACTTACCGTACAACTGGCTGTGTTTGTTGACTATAGCTTCAACATACACAGTGTTGTGCAAACCACGTCGCACGATCTCGTGGTATCCGATACAGATAATATCCGGATCATCGTCAAACAATCCTCGATTGAAGCACTTGACGATCATACGTAAGTCCAAATGATTCATTAAGAATCGCAATTTCTTCAACAACCCCTTACGCGAAAGATTCCGTAGACGTGAACGCCACGTGACGTTACAAACTCGATAGAGACGCAGCGAACGTTGCACTAATATACGTGTTACCGTGATTACAATTTCATATAAATCTTTTTTTTGTACACTCATCTCACACTCGAAACGAAATTAAATAATCACCGTCCTCGGCAAAACAAATAAACTCCACGAAATTTATATACAAATTCTTCGCGCTTGTGTTATTTAGTACATATCGGTTTAATATCGGTATCTTAAATTTATATCTTTATAAAAATGTGCGCTTCGATAACGATAACGGCAAATTGATACGATTTATTGTTAGTATCAGTAGCCAGCGTAATGTCCAGAGTACGTGTAAAATCACATCAATCTGTCGCTATTGTTATGGCAAACACTCGGTTTTTCCTAATTAATAACACAGTTCATAGTCCGTATTCGCGAGCGCGTGGATATTACACGCACATATCTCTCCAGAGAGGTGATACAAGATACAAGTCTCATGACAGAGCAATGTAAACATACCTCCTACCACCTTCTTTTCTGAACACTACCTGCGTGTTGTTGTCCTATACGATATGTGTGTATGCTTATATATACTTTAATTTACGGCCCAATTGTGTGTTGAGTAGGAATGGGCACATTGATATATATTTTCCAAACAATAATTAATCCATTAAAACATCTTATTTTTGGGATAATACAATTTTGCTATAGTTATAAATAAAATAACAATTATCCGATGAAACGTACTGATTTGTACCCAAGTAGCAAAATGACGTCATTCAACGTCAAAATGACGTATGCTTGCTATCTGAGTACATGTCTATATTCATTTTATTTTATTTTTATAAACTCTTCTAAAATAACACATGCACAAATCTGAGAAGTTTGTTTTGAACGATAAACAAATGTTTAAATATTAAGTTGTTTCAATACTTATATTCTCATGCATTCTATATTGTTAATTATATTTTATATGGCTTGAGGGGTCAGCAAATGTCAGTTAAAATTAAAAAAACATTAACATAGAAATATGATGGTAAATGGGAATAATAAATACCGATTATAAGTGCAAGTGAACTGTTCTTAATTATAAGCATACGTGATATTTGCTACATTAAATCTACGCACGATGTTTTATGATATGTCGTTACATATATAAATTTTTATGCATTGCTGTGTTTATACCTTTCGAAAATTCATCTGTCTTTTTTACTGTGTTCCCTAGAAAAGGGATTACAATTGATACAACTTTTTTTACATATTTGTGTTTCTCTTATATAATATGTATAATTTCTATGAATTACATTTAACTGATTTTCCGTTGGAGACATCTTCTCGAAAATCTATTTCAATATATTATAATATATATGATTTATGTCATCCAGAGATAGCATTTATACCTTTGGATGTATTGTGGGGTAAAAATTGATATAATACATGACACTTTGATCCTCCACAAATATTTAAAAGAGAGCTTTGAGAGGAGCATACTTATTGAAATATTTAACAATTCCTATAACAATTCACAAAATCTGTATATAATGCCATATATAATGAATATTCACTCTTAATAAATTGTTTAATTGGATATTTATGTTACATCAACTTAATATAAGTTAAGAATGTCTATTTCAACTGAAATATCAATCCAGTCAAGTTTAATTATTTAAATACAGACATAATATTTAAATTCAACAACAGTAACACGTGTGACCTATAAATATCATCAAAATTGAGCTATTAACAATAATGTAACATATGTTAAACATGTAAAATAACATGTTACGTGTAAAATCATACATGAAGTAACATTCATAAAATGAACCCCATAAAATATCCAGAAGTCTGTATGTAAAAGCCATATACTTTGACTCTATATTTTCATTATATGTGTCTAATTATTATAGGATTCCCTGCTAACATATACGATATATATATATATATATATATATATATATATATATGTATATATATATATGTATATAGGTACACAATCGATAATTATCATACGAGAGATTGGTATTCTATATATAATTTATAATACAAATACGCACATATATGCGTGTCTAAAGTGTTTTCTTGGATCGGTCGCTACGTGCATAAGACATTTTGTTTCAGTCTTTATAACATTGTGTAATTTAATTGTCCATGAAACATCGATGTGTGTGTGTGTGATGACCGATACAAGAAAGATCACTTATGGCATTACACACTTGTAGTATTTTATAAAGTATACTTTAACCCCATCAACGATTTATAAAAAAAAGATAATAGAAATCACCCCAATAGCAAACTATGTTATTAAACGTCATTCGACGTTAAAATGACATGCTTGCTATTTGGGAAAATTATTTTTCAATAAAGAATAAAGTTTTATCAGTTGCGAATATAGAGTTATGATTATAAAATTGCTATTCTTTTAATTAGATTATAATAATTGATATTCTTTTAATTAGATTATAATAATTGATATTCTTTTAATTAGATTATAATAATTGATATTCTTTTAATTAGATTATAATAATTGATATTCTTTTAATTAGTTGAACCCTTTCATTATCGGTTAATGTACGATTTATAAAATACTAGATATACACACATGATATATATATATATATATATATATATATATCCTTTATATGTAATTAAAATAAATTGATAGAGAACATTAATATTTCTATTAAAAAGGAGCCATTTGTGTATTTTTGTTGCCTATTATATGGAATTATGTGGAAAATAAAATTCGGTTTTATAAATAATTTCTTGGTTGCTACAATCTTTTATATATATACATGTATATATATGTGTGTATGCGTATGTTTCACTATTAATTCGATTTTCTTCTTTCAACAATATACACAGTTGTCACAACATATATTTTATACATACAATAAAGGTATATGATATTGAGATATTATTCAATAGATTCTAAAGAGAAGTTTAGATATTTGGAAATGACGATTAACAATCTTTTTCAAAAAAACAAAACAAAATGTAATTTATATCTATGCCTAGGATATTTACAAGTGACAATTGTTCTTAATTTAATTTTTATTCACGGTTCTCTTTTTAATTATCGCCAATAGGATAGTGAATCAATTACACGTATTTGCGTCAAGTTTAAATCTTTCAGGCCTTCCAGTTGCAATCTCGCATATTCAACTTTTTTTTGTTTATTCTCTAATCGATCTAAAGGCGGTTTTAATCGGATAAAATCTCATACTACAAATTTGTTACATATATTAATTTTTTTAATGACTCTCATCATTTTATGTGTTTTCGAAATATTAAGTAATTTTTCAAAGTAAATTTGATATAGCCATTTTGCTAAATTGTAATATATTGATTGCTCGTACCAATTCTTGTTCGTTTAAAAAGTATCATTTAAAGTCAATTGCTTAAAAGTCATTCAATAAAATGTATTGATATTTATAAATTTGTATATAATTTATATATACAATCAAATATAAAATAATTATACAATAACATAATATAGAGTATTTTTATATGTGTAAAGATTATTTTGTTTCTATTATTATATAAATACCTTTAAAAATATAGAATAATACTTAAAGGAGAGAAATCGAATATTTTAAAAACAATCTTAAGATGAGAGAATTTCACTACAACATAATATAAATTTCTAGAAAAATTAACAATGAAAATTAACTTTAATATATTATCATGTATTCATGATATATCTGACTTATAGTATAGTATCATATAGCCTATAAAATAATATTCTGAATATCTATAAGAAATTAAAACATTCGCGCGAATAATAAAAAGTATTTTGTCATGTCTCAGATTTAATGTATTTAATTCGAATTAAGAACTTGTATGTTAATTCGCGCAAGTTTAACTTATTTTTTCTTCTGAATCCCAAATGGGGAGATATAAGAAGAACGACAGTTTTAAAAATAAATATAAATAATATTGTAATAGTTAAAAAAAAGTATTGCATAGGGCATCAGGAAACTTTCGATAGGCACTTTCGATTAATTGGATCAATTTAGTCTTACCATTAATTCCCTGATACTCTAAAACTCATGAACATCTGTTGGAACGTTAAGAGGAAGCAGTAAGCAATGTATTGATTAAAAAAAAAATACACGAGCCGCGATGATTAAGATTGTAAGATTTCATAGATCTATACTGACACATTATTGGTTCATTTACGCTCATCCACCAATATTTGTTATTTTATCACATCGTATCTCAACATATCCTATAACAGCATAAAGACGAGATACGCGCATTCATACGTACATACGCATACATAGATACACACAGGCACGTATGCATATACTCGCAAATCTTCATATACAACATATGCACACGCGCATATATGTAGAAAAGCACATTAAATGACATATTTTGTATCATTAAAGATACCCAAGTAGCAAATTGACATCATTAAACATCAAAATAACGTGTAAATTTCGATGTTTATGACGTCATTTTGACGTTTAATGACGACATTCGACGTCAAAATGACGTAAACTTGCTACCTGGGTATTGAAATATCTTAATGATGATTTTCATTAACATTTTGCTAAGAAAAATTGCAATCCTCGAATTAATCGAGAGAAATATGTTATAATTTAATGCTATAAAACATTTTTTGTATGTGTCTTAATTATTGTATTTATGTATTTTGCGTGCGCACGTATTTATGTATGTATATTATATATATATGTATATATAATGCGAGTGCATTGCATATATGAATTCGTGTGTGTATGTGCGCACATGTACGTATATATTTAAATTTGTGTATGCATATATACGTTTTATCATTTATGTTATAATTTATCAATAATGTTTTCTCTTAATCGTCCACATTTTTTAATGTCTCGATCGTAAGTAACAAACCTCGATAAATTGAGTCGTTACCAGTCGTAGTCGTGTTGATGAAAAGGATTGGTGCATGGTTGTTGGGCGTGTAGCTGAATAGTTGGTTTTACGACATCGAATTCCCTACCCACCACTTCATTGTAGATCTACAATATCAAACAGGAAAGTGACTTATCAGTTTTCTCTGTTATAGCATATCTTATTGGAATTTATCAATATATGTTCTCGTGGCAAAGTATAGATAGGATTTCTTGTTCAGTGAGTTTCGGAGAAGCCTTTTTGTAGAAGAAATGCAGACAATAAAACCTAAAGAAGTGTCTTTTATTTTTTTTTATTTTTTTTTAGAAATATTGCATCCTCTTGCTTCGGACGTCTTTTAATTAGAATGGTTTTACTGAACCTGGAAGCTCCTACGAATATACTCGTCCTCTCCTTTGCCAGTCATACCGTAATTATATCCACCTTCGCTGCCGCCTCCGCCGTTTAAGAATGGATTCGTTGGATTGCCAGGACCTGGTGTAAAAATAAAAAAAATATTATAAAGTAGGCAGTGTTTGCTGTTATCTAAATAAAATTATATAGATGATCATCTAGAAACTTTGGCGTCATCTTATTTTTATATAGATAATGAAAATATGTATTATCTATATCTGCATCTTAGATGAAAGAAAGTATTATCTTTACTAAATTATCTAAAATAATTTTCAGATAATTTTGGTTTAGAATCATAGCACATAAAAATACTTAAATAGTAGAACTTGAGCAGTAAACAATAAATATTTATAAATAAAAATATGAATACATATTTTTATATCCCTTTTATAATTTACTTTTTTTATAACTGCGCTTACATAAGCAATCTTAAAAATTATCTAGATGAATCGCCATATAATTTTATCTTTTATCTAGATATATTTAAAACCAAATTATCTTCATCTTATCTAAGATGAATTTACATATTTTTATTTCATTTTTATCTAGCTCGTTTTAAAATCATCTAACACAACACTAAAAGTAGGAGAGAATAATTACTTAGGAAAATAATTAGCCGCGAATTCTTGTCTATTTTCGAATAAAATCGCAAAACAGAATAGTTTCTTACCTCCATTAGCACCGGGTACGGCCAGATTTCCACCAGCAGTTTGATAAGTAGCGCCGTAACCAGCATCTTGATTAGCTAGTTCATGCAAGCGGGTAGAACTTAGGGCTCTCGGTATAGCATTACTCGGTACACCATGTGGTGCCAAATGAGTAGCTTCGGCTACCTGATGCGGATCTTCTGTTTGTGGCAATTCGGATACAAAACCGGTATCTTTTCTGTAGAAGTTGATGAAGATAAAGACCGCTAGGACGATGATGCAAATGAGACCGTACGCTCGGAAAGTTGCAGTTGTGCCTGTACATTAAATATTTTAATAATTATTTTATTATTTACTTATTTAATAATTTATTTATAAATATTGTTAAATAAATCATTATGACGTCATAACAAAATGTAATAGCAAAGATTCCCAAGTACACTGAACAAAAATTTATTGAATTCAAATAAATATTTCAATATTCCTTTATATATAAATCATTTATTTGAAACTATCTAGATAGCAAACATGTCATTTTGACGTTTCACGACATCAGTTTGCTACTTGGGTAATAATATTGATTTGATGTAAAGAAACCATTGCAAACTTGGCGCGCTGTTAAGTTGCAAAATTACAATGCACTTTAAAGTAATATTGATTAATTTAATTACAAAATATATTTAAACTGCAATAAGTTTTCAAGTAACATTTAATTTTAATATCATTAGGATATTATTTAGTAGCGCGTCAAGTTTTTAACTAAAATTTTTTTATTTTTTACTGGTGTATTGTGAGTTGTGATTATATTTGGATTTATGGGTATTTGAGGCTCTAATATGAGCATTTTCCTAATATTATATGATCATTTGATGTAATATATTGACGAATTAATTATTTTCTTAAATATTTGTTTCAGAAATGGGCGCTGAAATGAGCGGCGGAGTTTTTCCTACCACTGTTGATGAGGGGACGGCTATCTACAAATTTAAAGTGACATTGAACCATTTTAAACCAGCTATTTGGCGACGTGTAGAAGTTCCTGGATATTTTGATTTTTCTCAGTTTGCCCAAGTCATCATCCAAGCCATGGGTTGGCATGGTGGTCATTTACACGAGTTCTCCAATAACAATCACTTTCGAATCTTGAATAAAGATCCCAATGACCGTGAGTTCACCCTTAATTGCACCCTTTTATACGAGTTAGTGCAATAATTGTATTAATGCCGATTATAAGAGGACAACTTTGTTTAATTGTAATCATGCGTAAAGAAAATTGATTTGGTATATTTTTCTGATAGCGTATTTCGGTGAATTCGGTGATGACCGAGATGCAAAGGAGATCAACATTTCGGACATATTCTCAATGACTGGCATGAAGTCCTTGAAGTTCACATATGATATGGGAGATAACTGGCAGCACAAAGTTCTTCTGGAGGCTGTTTTTCCCGCTGTGGCTGATCAGGAGTACCCTGTTTGCACTGCTGGTAATTCTTTCCTTTATTCCCTTACGCTCTAATTTTATATGGAATAACTTTTACAATTTTCTGGACTGAAATCTGTTTAAAAGTATTTTATATTAACAAACCATCATTAATGGTGCATATCTGACATAGGGAGAAATGCTTGCCCACCTGAAGATTGCGGCAGTGTAAGCGGTTATGCTAATTTATTGGAGGCGATCAAGGATCCCAATCACAGAGAGCACAAGGAGATGAAAGAATGGTTGGATTTCTGTGGATATGAGAATTTTGACCCAAAGAAGTTCAATAAGGATGAAGTGCACTTTTTTGAAGTGTAGATCTGATTACAATGGAGTTTTCTAATTTTCTGGCATTTATTTTATTTTTATTGTAAGTTAACAAAGCATTGGTGATGACCTAATAACTTTGATTTTTGTTTAATGTAATATCCATATCGGTTTCAATTTATTTTATTTTATCAATTTTCAATTTATTTTATTCCCAAGGGTTTCTTTGTGTTTCATTTAATATTCATACTTGATTGTCTGCTAGGATTTGTTCCATAGATTACCAAATGTAATATGGCGAAATAAATATTTGCTCCCTTAAATGAGTTAATGAAATCCTGACTTTCTGACTGGATTAATTATTTGTAAACGAAAACGATGTAGTATAGGTATCTGAATAGTTTTAGATTGCTTAATGTTTTGCGTCAGCAAAAAGCTATTTCTTGCGAGAAAATGCGCCATATAATTCAAAAATATTTCATCTTGCATGCATCATGGGGTTGCGGTACGTAGGTATATTGTATGATGAGAGAGGGAGAGGAGCGATTATGTTCCGAAAACGTCGGATTCGATTTTGGACTATTTTAGTGTGACATACGTTTTGGACATTATTTCTAACATTTTATTTCGGCTGATTGACTTGCGTTGCTGAAAGCTAACAACCGCTTATAGTGAGGCCACAAGTTAGTTCTCCTGTTTGGTCAGGTATTTTACCATCTTATTTACAATCGCAGTCCTAATTTAATAATTATTGTACTTGTACCTTTGTACCTATCGCTTGCGGGTATTGTTAAAGATGACTGTTTTGTTCTAATTCTAAACTCAGCTTGCTTCAAATCTAAATCATTGATTTAAAGGATATGGACTCCGTAACAACACCGTGTACTGTGTCACCCATTATGAGTCATGGAATGGAAAGGTTATCACTTGTATTTGTTCGGTGGATACAGTATCATGGATAAACAGTTCGATAACGATTTGGAAGGTGAATGTCACATATAAAATAATTAAGTATTTATTATGTAATGTGATCGCCCGCTTTTTCCTCACTAACCGTTTCAAACCTGAACCTCATGCCACATGTCGAACTCATTAAATTGCGTGTCTTTGTATTTCAGCGGATACTAAAGATTCGAGGATTTTAAAAATCTCCAAAGAGTTTTCGATGACCATGGGGAAGAACGTCATGGATTTCGAGTACGACTTTGACGACAGTTGGAGTCATAGAATCATTTTAGAGGAGATTTCACCTCCACACACACCAACCGGGATATATGGGTTTGTAATGATTAATTTTTTCATAAGTATATGATTGATGTAAAATATAGAAATAAAATGAATAAAAGTTAATATAATAAATAACAGAGATAAATCATAAAGAATTATTTTTAATAATCCATAGCACTCGGTGCTATGAGTTATTAAATTCTTATGACTTTCTTAATGTTATATTTATTAACTTTCCTATATTTATTATTTATTAATGTATGTTAACATATATATTGAATATTCGATATGAAAGTACAAATAATTTTTTTATTGTATATAACGTATATTTGTGTTCAAAATAAGAAAATTCTTCTCAAAACAGATAAATATTTATTTGTTTTAAATAAACAATTTTTAAAGCAGTATTGAAATAAATATTTATTAATTTAATAATTATTTTTTCAGTGTAGCAAGTATACGTTTATGTTATTTTAACGTTTAATGACATCCAGTTTTTTGCTACTTGGGTTTCTATGTGAATTAATACACATTAAGTTAAATTTAATATAAATTGAATTTAAGTAGTTTCTTTAAATGATTCTTTATATAAAAAAAATTCATAATTTGCTATTATAGATTTATATACATTTATATACACATACATCATACATACTCACATAGATGCGACAGAAGATGTAATGAGGAGAAAGAAAGTGGATTTTGGTGGCAAGGTAGAACAAACATTGCAAATCATGTCAATCAAACAGATCAAAAGAATATGGAAAAACAAATTAAATTAAGGAATTAAATGTAAAAAGAAATTTAAAAATACCAAAAAGACAGCAATTAAATTTTAAAATTCAATAAAATGAAAACAAGTAGAAAAATCAAAAATACGCATATGATGAAGCGCTTTAGATAGATATGTAAATGATAAATAGATGTAAAAAATATAATATAAAGTAAGCTTGGATTTCTAATCAACTATTCGCAGAAGATTGTACATTATTTTATTTTTCAGAAGCATATTAAAAACTTACCATAAACTGCAACAAACATGCCGCCAATTACTGCACCGCATCCTCTTCCAAGCCCATGGTGGAGTCCCTGAAGAACACCTTGTGCGCTCGAACGTAATTGCGGTGGTGTATTATGGGCGATGTAACTGCAGCAGGCGGCCCATACAGCCGCATGTGTGATACCCTGGATGAACTCGAACGGTAATACCCACCATGGATTTCTCAGCCAAGATATATAAAGAAATCGAAGCACATTTCCGCCTAGACCCAGACACAATACCTGAAATACGAAGCATGATTATCAGTCAAGTTTGCAAAAGTGTGATGAAATTCACGTTGGGACGTTTGCAGAAACATATTTAAATTTTAAATAAAAATTATTAGACAAATTAAAAATATCGAAGCTAATTCAATTGAGTTTGTCATTTCTCAATATTTTACATTTAAAAAATTATTTAATTTTTAAAAAGTGATAGTAAATATATTATTGTGTACCTTAACGTGTCCGATCTGTCGAATAAGTTTGAAACTGAAGAAGTATGCAAAGATTTCGGAAATGTGATTGATGACAGATGCAACGCCGAATAAAGTTGGCGAACCACCGTAATCTTGAAGGTGCCAGAAAAGGAAAGTAAAGATCAATCCTATGCCAAATCCCATAAACCACGCGACAAATAGGAACGAGGCGCATTTCAGATCTTTGAATTGCTTCAATACTGTCACCCACTCTGGTATTTCTTTTGTGGTTTGTGCAAACATTTTAGTCTAAAATCAAAAAGTGATCATGATTGTAAGACACAGAAAATCTATACAATAATTGTAATACATATAATGTACAAGACATTTTTTCGTACAAAACACGGTCAAAATAAACAAACTTGAAAAATATATTTATATATTTTACAGAACATTTATATGTTTTTTATATAAAATATATATAGTATAATTTTATAAAAATATATAATATATATTTTTATATAATTATATATATATATATGTAAATATAATATATTTATATATTTTTAAATTTTGTTTCGTTAATTAATACAGGTTAATCTAGACCAGATAAATCTTAAGTTTATTTATATACGTAAATCACGTTGCAAATAAAATATATATCTATTTACTTTGATCAATAATTTAAGATGGGGAGAAATTTAATGATGGAATTTAATTATATTAATTATTTTCTTGAAGAATTTTAGTAACAAAATTTAATTATAAAATTGACAAATTTAATGCAACAATATTTTCACGAATTTGAAAAGATTAATTTTTAATTAAAAGAAGAAATATGAAACAATTGACAAAATTAAAATTAATACGAAAGAGAGAATAATAATTTGTCAACGTAAGCTTAATGAGGTACTTTGCTTTCGTAATTTTGAATAAACTTATCTATTTTGAAACCACCATATTCATCTCGACTAAAGAGCCAAACGCGATGTTATTGCGACAAATTAAGATAAGAAAATTTGGAAACTAAGGAATTTGAATCCTATGGTTGGGATCTCAGAAATTCCCCTTGTTCCTTCTCTTAACATCCCCTGTAAAGAAATAGACGAGAAAAATATTGGTCCGAAAGTTTCTAAATTTTCTTATCTTAATTTGTCGCAATAACATCGCGTTTGGCTCTTTAGTCGAGATGAATATGGTGGTTTAAAAATTGGAGAGCTGACTTAAAAATATTCTTATTAATGTTTATCTATTTTGATTAAAACTAGATATAGACCTTTCCTTCGGGAGGTTGAGGTTTAGGATCTATAGCAGCAGAAGAATCCTGAAGTCCAGGAAGATTAAGCTGCTGAGACAATTGACTTTGAAGTTTTTCTTCTTGTGTTTGCTCAGCTGGACCCACAACTTCCTAAAATATAATTAATAAAGTTATCATTTTAAACGTAAAACTTTAAGTAACAAATATACATAAAATTATAATCTGATTTATGTAAGATTTATTTCTTTATAAAGAAATTAGCATTTTTCGTTCACTGTTTGAAAAAGGAAAGAGATAAACGATGAAAAATTTCTAATGTATGTTAGATGAAAAATCTTATCTTTATATAAATTAAGAAAATTATCTAATTTTATCCATCTTTTTAGTAAAATTCTTAAGCAGCAATATTTTATTATAACGGATATTAAAATGAACTCACTTGCGGATACTCAGCAGACGCAAAATCATATTTGAAATTAATTTGCGTTGCTGTTATTAACGCGGCGCCCATTAAAACGCTGAATATCGCAAAACAAATTGTATAATTTTTTTCTCTCTCATCAGGCTTACAGGGATGATCCGGAAATGCGGTGCTATGATCAAGAGCGATGCCAACAAAAAACATGGCCAAACCCCATCCGAGACTTCCAAACATACGTTGATGACCATATCTGGTTAGTAAATAATTTATTAACCTTAAGATTATTAGACATGTGCGAGTGCGAATATAGTCATTTGCAAACTGGAAATAGCAAGAAGGTATATTTGTGAGAAAATTATAATTAGTTAATTGTTGAAAATTTCAAAAAGAAATATCTTTAGCATTAAACTGAAAGGATATATTGATATTACCTGTCAGCATCTTCACCAAGTAAAGTGATAACAGCTGAATCGGCTAAAGTTATAGCAGGTGCAGAGAAAAATTCTCCAACTACTACCAACAGTAGCAGAAGAAAGAAGGTTTTTTGAATATCCTAAAATCATATTTATATAATCAACACATTATTAAATTATTAATGTCCCAAGTAGCAAGCGTACGTCATTTTGACGTCGAATGACGTCATTTTGCTACTTGGGATCTTTCGTCTGCAGATCTTTTTTAATATGCTATTGTAAATCGATTACAATTATATTTATATTTTTATTCTGTACACACATAGGTATAAATTATTATTGTTTTTAAGAGATTGCGTCATAAAATGAGAATCAAGTTTGTAACTTACCGGTAATCTATAGACTATGGAACTAAAGAGTGGTTTCACCCATCCTTTATTCTCTTTTTCATTATAATTCGCAGCATAGGTAACCGATAGAGGAGACAATTGATTCTGTCCCATGAAAGGGCCGTGAAGCATTCTTATACTTCTGCGACTTCTCATTAATGACACGTCCATATTGCTTTCGGTTTCTTCCTCATTGTCATCAAGTTTCATGTCATTTTCATTCAAGAATGGCAGCTTCTTTTCTACATCTCGTTTTACCATTATTTTCTCCGGTGGTGGTTTCACACGTGTCTTGATATAAACGTGAGCTTTCTTTGGGACTCCTCTATTAACTGGTTGTTCATTCTACATGAAACATATATATATTTATTTTATACAATTTTTTTATTATAATAATATTAATAAAAATTGTATAATTAATTAAAGAAAAATAGTTAAAAAAATCAAAACGAATGTGCTATTATCACAATATTTGTCTCGTGTAACGAACAAACAATTGCAATAATTTAATCACTTATAATTGCCCAAGTAGTGAACTTATAAATGTCAATAAATGTCAAAATGACGTATGCTTGCTATCTAGATATTGATATTATTGATCTAGATATTGATATTAAATTCTTGCGATTGTTTGTTCATTATACGAGACAAATACAATATTTGCTCAATTTATAACTATGTTTGGTTGCAAAATACATCCTTAATTCTGTTGTATATCGATATTACAATTTTTATATTTCTTTTATACATTATAGAAAAAAAGATATACCTTCATGAACTGTTTATACTCCAAGATATCAGCTGGACGATTGTTCTTCTGCAGTGTCTCCAAATCAACGGTCTTCGAATCCGAATCGGCATTGTCCTCGTGTCTTAAATATCTAAGATTTCCGACATTCCTGGCTGTGCGAGATATTTGTCTCTTGACTCTGTTGGTTTCCAAATTGTACGCAATGGAGCCATCGTTATCGAAACTTGATGTAATATCATTTTTCACGATATCAAAAGGTATACCGAACATATTAGTTCCTTTCAAAGAATTTGGTTTCCTCGTGTAATCTAATATTTCATTATCGTCTGTGCTTCGTCGCAATCTTTCGAAGACGACATTAGACGCGATCTCTAGATACTCCTCTTTATTTTCGGGATAATACAATTCATCTAAATCGGTCGATCTCTTTACAATTCTCTGCTCTCTGCTGGACGCTTCCAGATAATAAGTATCATTTGATCTAACCATGCAAGAAGTTGGCGGTGGTTGAACGAAACCCAAAGGTAGAGTGAAGATGATCCAGCAAGAAAGAGAAGCTAATAGAATAAGTTTGCCTTTTTGCCATCTGTGAATAAACAAAGAGAGATATACATTATTTATTATTTTTTATTTTTTGTTCTAATTTTTAATTAAATTTTGTACATTGTTGTATTTTATAATAAATTATGTAATCCAAAAAATATGATTCTAACGAAAAAATAAGGTAAATGGCTTACATGTAAAGTTTACAGTTTCGTTATTGCACACGTAATTATTTAAAAATGCTTTTCTGGCAATTAGAAAAAAATATTTGCTAATTTTGCACTGAGCACTGCATTTATTAAAAAAAATTATAACTACAGAAATTATGATTATTAAATATTACAGAATACTATTGAAGATACATGAGAAAACTTGAGTAAGCAAATTACAATTATGTATTTTCAGAAAAATAATCGTTATATCGATAAACTTATATATATACTACATTTACTCTTGAGCAAAGATTGCGCATGACTTCATAAACATTATTTGCAAACCTGGCATCATTTTAAAATACTTAAATATGTGTGTATGTATGGAACCTTAAATCCTCAATTTACATTTATGCAATTTTAAATTAATATTTGAAAACACATTTTCAATCTCAGTAAAAAAATGATTATAAGACGATTTTCAAGTTACATTTTTGATGAAGCCATATGGTAATTATGTAATCTTGCTCTTCGATTGACAATCTTTTAATGTTGAGATCTAATGGATATATTTTGATTGAAATGACAGCGCCATGTAAGGACTCACCTGTCGGCCAAGGATCCCCAAAAAGGAGCGCTGAGAAACTCGATGAACGGCCTGAGACCGATGAGAAGACCGCACTGTCCAGCGTTCATCCCCATTTGCTTAAAGTACACCCCCATGAGCGGAAACAGGGAACCGAAGGCCGAGTAGAAGAAGAAGTAAAAGGTCTTCACGGTGAGGAGTTCTTGATCGACAGCGCCGAAGAGATACTCCAAGATATCGCTCTTACCGCGTATCTTATGCGTGGCTTCCTTTGGCTGAGGATACTGGCTGGGGTCGACCTCACCCTCGGCTTGAGGGTCCACCATCGGCCGAGCCGATGGAACATGAGGGAGAACTCTGCTTCCTGGTTGCACGTTGGATGCATCGTTCGACGCTCCGTAGCCGTAATCCTCGTGACCATAGTTCTGCATGATTTCTTCTTATTTGCCCTTTGCGATACGGAAACGCTCTCCGCGGATAGAGAGCTAATTCTGACTACCAGCGGAACACGTTCACCGGACGAGATGCAAACTCGCAAGCTCTGGAGTTCACCATGGAGCAACCAGGTTGTTTCCTTTTCTCGTTTAATTCTACGTGGACTCGCCGATTATATATCAAGTACCAAACCGGTACCCTTCGTGGTCAAATCAATGTTGGGCTGCAATGTTGGGGCAGCTTTGCTTCCAAAATCGATAAATACGCCACTGCGCCGGCGTAACACTTTTACCCTCTTACTGTCCCTACCGACGCGATATGTGTGCCTTAATGCCATATCGACGTCTAGTCTTTCGGCGGATACTATTTTTGCTTTTCCTCTAATTTATCTGTCATCTTACAACTTGCATCAAATTCTTTTTTCTTCTTTTTCTTCGAAAGATAGTAGAGCAACATTAGATTTTATTTGGTCGCATTTGATCTAATTTTGACAAAATTAGATTAAATTTTATATCAGATAATCATTGCAGATGTATCGTTTAATGAATTTTATATTTGTATACAATTATAGACATCAAAATTGAAACGTATTTTCAAAACTAATTATGATACATATATATATTAGTTTTATAATTGATTATAATTAAGATAAATGAGGGAAAATTTCATTTCTGACGAAGAAGCAAGTTTTTTTCTCTCACAGATTAGATTCCAAATTCTGTTATTGCACTTCGGAATCAGAAATCATTAGAAGAGAAATATTTTCATTATTTTGATATACGCGATTGCTGAGAATATTGAGATTAACTAAAGATATTAGCTCAAGATTTTCTTCAATTCAAGTTCACCGTTCTTTTGATTGTTTATAACTTCGAAATTATTACCACTGAAAAATTCTATGCCAAATTTGACAAATCTGTCATTAACGTCGCAAAAATTCATTGTTTTATAATATTAATTTTTTTCAAACTATATAGAGTATTATGTATAAAAGTATTTTGTGATGTGTGGATAAAAACACAAACAGCCATATTTAACGAAAGAAAATAAATAATTATCGCTTTATTGCGTCGTCATATTATCTTATATAAATATATACATTGAGATTAAATAATTATTAATTTATAATAATTATTAATGTTTTATACAATGAATAATTTCCATAATGATCTCATTTTCAGACAACTTTGGGTATGTGTATCAGGCCCATGTGCGACTGTGCGGGACACGCTGAAGAGGCGGCCGTTGACGATGGTGCAGGCTTAGGTGGCCCTTGAAACATGCAGGTTTTCGCTGTCTTCAAAAGACGGCCATTGTTCGCGGTTCGCCAATAAACTGTACGAACCGCCTGCTTTCCAGCGACGTAACTAACAGCACCACCAACCAACATCTGTGGAGTAATTATTATCTGTTAGATGATTGAACTTTGAAATACAAGGTATGATAACTATATATGTTACAGATATATCTTACGAAAGCGTGTCTTTATACAAAGAAATGAAAAATAATGATTTTACTTGTATGTATATATAGACGTTTCGTTATCGAAACATTTTTTTATTAATTGTAAAGAGGGAGAGAAAAAGAAGAGAGATCTTTTTTGCAAAAAAGCTTACGATTATGTTTTTACGCTAGAAATTTTGTTTAATTTGACTTTTCAACTAATTAAAATAAAATTATGTACTATTTTATTAATTACACATATATTAATATTTAAGTCAAATATACGTTTTGTTAGATTTAATATGTTATATTTAATTTAAATATTTTTATATGTTCAATTAGCAAAATAATATTTAACTGAAAGATTTAGTCAAGTTAAAAATTTTTTAGTCTGTAAAGCACCGAATCTTTAGAGACTATCTTTAATAATACTAAATTTTTTTTAAAAAAGACTGAACAAAAAATCTGCATATTCACAATCTGATTGTGAGTACGATTTATGTTTGTTAAATAATATATATTTTTTATATATATTTGAATATCAAAGCATTTATAAAAATTCACACAGTCTATCACTGAAAAAAATATTTGTTAACTGACTAAATCTTTCAACTAAATTATTATTTTGTTAATGGAACACATATTAGTATTTAAATCAAATATGCGTTTTGTTAGATTTAATGTTATATTTAATTTAAATATTTTTATATCTTTAATTAACAAAATAATAATATTTAGTTGAAAGATTTAGTCAAGTTAACAAATTTATTTTTTCATTGTACTTAATTGCTCGAAATTTGACATGAGATAAAAGAAAAATAGACTTACTTTTTGTCCGGTGTTAATAAATTGCAGCTGTTGACTAGAACGTTGATGTAACTTTGAAAGTTAATCGGAAGACGAAGAATTGATATTAGACTCTGTTCTACCTCATTTGTTCGTGTAGACGTAAAAGACTAGTACTGATGGTAAATCGCCGCACGACGGGTGTTTTATACGACAAATACAACGTCACGAGTTATTAAGATAAGAGATTCGTGCGTCATTCACAACAATCATTATGCTGCGTCTCGTTGGGAGGGAATTTTTGTTCTGTACAAGGATGAAGAGGAAGAAAAAAGTAGGGAGATAAGCGCAAGCGAGAGAGACGTATGTGTCTCAGGGGTCTTATTTAGTTTTTCTTTTATCAACTTTTAAGCAACATATTGATAAACTCTAGTGCAACACGCTGACGCATTCACGGGCAAAGAGCTAGGCAGCGTGGAATATGAACTATGTACATTACACGCCTTGCTAGAATATTGCACGATTGGGAAAATTGACGTCCGACAGTAGTTTGACGTAAAATCATAGACGATATAATGTGATAACGATGCAGAGATAATGAATGCAGTGAGCATGAGGAAACGAACAATAACAATAAACAAAGTACGTCACTTATTAGTATCCGCATCGGTCGTCGACTTATCGCTATATATTAATTAGTTTGTTTAATGATGTAACTGGGCAAAGTATAAGAGAACGAGGAGTAAAGTTTCATTTATACGGATAGGAAATGATTATTAATCTCAATAAAAAAATATTACAAATAAAACAATGAATAACCATACACTATGAATTAAATGTTGAGTTGGAATAAAGTTTTATAAATTAATTAAATTACGATGACACTATTATTTAGTTTAAACGCAAATAATCTTTAGCTGGCAAATGTGAATTTAGTCCATTGATGATATCATTAATTTATCATCTCGCATTATTCCACATTCTTCTTTATTCTTCTCATTTAATCTTTTTAATTAACCATTTGTAATATGTTGTGTAAGCATAACAGAGATTAACTATCATTAAAATAAAAGCAAACGTGGAAAAATATTGTAAAAGTATATTAGTTCATAATATATTTTTTCTTTTCAGATAATCAACCTTATTTAATTACGTAATTAATACTGGGTGAAAAGTAAAAGAGTCAAATAATAGTAGAAAGAAAACTTTCCATCTCAATGTTTATTATTAATCAATCAAGTCGACGTGAAGTCAGTTTAATGTCTAAAAATATAAAACGGAGTCTGATAATACATCCTCATATCTTTTTCACGATCATGTTAAATCCAGCAAGTCTGTAGATATCGCATCTACGATTATTATCTATACATGATGTATCTCATTATAGGTATAACGTAAAAACATAACGCGTCACAAAATTAATATTTCAATTCATCTTATAATGCATAAAAGGCTTTCGAGTGCTGTGGTACTTATTCTTCAATTTTATCAAAACAACAAAAATTCCGCATCGATAACAAAAATTGGGATTAAAAGGACATCCAGATTTTAGTGAAAACTGGAAGTTTTATCAAAAAATAATTCTGCATTGATAAACAAAAATTTGTGATTAAAAGGATATTGAGATTTTAGCGAAAGCTCCACAGAGATATCATGAAAATATAAGAAATTTTATTACATATTTTCTTAAACATATATATATATATATACACACATTTCAAGCGATATGCTTTCATAAGATTACTCATCGAACGGAAACTTTGCCCGATATTTGTGTCGTCTTGCAATGATTCAATTTGTTCACGAGGACAGCATGGCGCATGCTGTCGTAAGCAGGAGTTCAAAAATCCCATGATATTGATAAGAGAGTTGCACAGCTGGAACTCACGTGACAGTCTCGTGCCGTTGTAAATAAGAAGAACGCTAGAACGTCGTGATCGTGATATGCTGATTATTCCGATAAAAAACCCTCGCGTATGTACAGACATTGCGTCGTATAGTGACGATTAGTAATCAGTACCGATCACGTGGGGTCTGATACAGATTGCAGTATAAGATTGATATACAAGACGTTGTTTTTCAGAATAGACGATGCATGCAACTTTTAAGTGAGCTTTACGCGAGTATAATATCTAATATATTAAATTTATTCGCATAATAAATTATTCAATCAAATTTATAGCAAAAACATTTTTTACATATTATCTTCTATTTTCTTTATATATATAAAATTAAAAAAATATATTATAAATTATATATATAATATATTTTTATAATATTTTTCAAGTTATTTACTTTTATTTTAATGTAGTTAATCTCTGTTATGTTTACACAATATATTATAAATGATTAAATTAGAAATATTATATACATATATATATTAAATGAAGAAAAAAGAAGAATAAAATGGATATGTGAGATAATAAAATTTAATATATCGTCTACGGACTAAAAATTTACATTTGCTGACTAAAGATTATTTGCGTTTGAGCTGAATAATATTATAATAATTTTGTGATATATAATATTATATTACAATATAGATTTTATATATGCGATCTAGAAAAACATTTGCATTCAGAGCGATATAACTTTGGCATTTTTGCAATATAACTAAGCATTTTTGCAATACATATCCAAGTACAGAATTTTCATTAAATATAATTTTATAATTTAATCCAACACGTGTTTCCTTAAAAAAAAAGATGTTTAAAAAATCTACTCATTTAGAGAAAACCACTTCAAAGTAAAGAGATTGCTCAATATAGATGATTATTAATAGAAATCTTGTTTCGATAGATTTAAGATTTGTGATCTTAAAAAGATAATGTCTATATGACTACAATTATCTTTCAATTTGATATGTATCACTCCTGGGGGGCAAGATGTCCACTTATCACTTGATATATATTATCAATATTAATTGTGGGAAATCCATGTTACTTCAAATCAAAAAGATTACGAAGTTCAAGAAGTTTGATCAATACAACTTATATGCAATTTAATTTTTTATACAAAATTTTTCATTGAACTTTACTTTTTCAAAATGTTTCTCTTAATGACACATGCTTGCTTTGATTTCCGGAAACAGAAACTTTATATATTTCTCTGTTTAGATACAACTATATTTTTTCTAATATAATAATTACATTTTAAAAATTAGAGATGTATCTTTTTGTTTGTAAATTCAACTTTATATAGATTTATATATTAGTTTTTTTTATTATACAGCAATTTTTTATATTATAGATTTAATTTAATAGATTTTATTTTACATTATACACTATACATATATATGTATATTATATTATATTAAATATATGTATATTAAATTAAATCTATAATATAAAAAATTGCTGTATAATAAAAAAGAAAACCAATAAATAAAAAACTAATATATAAATCTATATAAAGTTGAATTTACGAACAAAAAGATACACCTCTAATTTTTAAAATGTAATTATTACATATAATGTATAGTGTATAATGTACGAGGGTGGTCTGAAAAGTTTCCGACCTCAACGTGATGATGGCAACACTCGTAAATAAAAGCTAGTGAATTTCGTTGTTCATCTGTTGACAGTTACTCACCGAAGTTTCAGCTATTTTGGACTCGCGATGTGAGTGTTTTTGTGAAAATGGACAAAATCGAGTATCGAGCTGTCATTAAATATTTGTTTTTGAAAGGCAATACGCCTACGCAAATCAAAGTTGAGTTGGATTCTGTGTATGGGGACTCTGCACCATCATTTACCACAGTGAAATTTTGGGCAGCTGAATTTAAACGTGGCCGTAAGAGACGATGAACGTTCGGGACGTCCAAAAACTGCAACTACCGACGAAAACATCGCCAAAGTTCACCAAATGGTGCTAGACGACCGCCGAATTAAAATGAGAGATAGCAGAGATTATGAACATGTCAAAAAAGAACGTGTTTGTCGCATATTAAATCAACATTTAGGCATGAGAAAGCTGTCCGCGCGTTGGGTGCCGCGTTTGCTCACGTTAGACCAAAAACGTGTTCGAATGAACATTTCCAACGCTCTGTTGGCGCAGTTTAGGCGCAATAAATCCGAGTTTTGGCGCCGATTAATTACTGTAGATGAAACTTGGATACACCATTATACGCCTGAAACAAAAATACAGTCCAAACAGTGGACTGCAAAGGGGGAACCGGTTCCAAAAAAAGCAAAAACTGTTTTTTCGGCTGGGAAAGTGATGGCGACTGTTTTTTGGGATAGTCATGGAGTTATTTTAATCGATTATCTTCAAAAAGGAAAAACCATTACAGGAGCATACTACGCATAATTACTTGACAAGCTGAAGGAAGAACTTGCGGGAAAACGGTCACATTTGCAGAAAAAGAAAATCCTGTTTCACCAAAACAACGCACCGTCTCACACCTCAGCGGTTGCCATGGCGAAAATCCACAAATTACGGTTTGAACTGCTTGACCATCCGCCTTACTCACCAGATCTAGCCCCAAGCGACTTCTTTTTGTTCCCTCATCTAAAAATTGCGCTCGGAGGACAGAGATTTTCGTCAAATGAAGAGGCAATCACCTTCGTGAACAATTATTTTGCAGAGAAAAACGCCGAGTACTATTTGGACGGGTTACAGAGATGGGAGCATCGCTGGGAGAAGTGTGTAGATTTACAAGGAGACTATGTTGAAAAATAAAAAACAATTTTCAGAAAAAATGACTTGTATATTTGTTAGGTCGGAAACTTTTCAGACCACCCTCGTAAATTAAAATTTACATCATAACATCTTTTACATTATAAGTTTTCTTTTTTATTATAAAGAAATATATACCTATCGACACATATGAGAAAATTTTAATGCTACTTGCATATATAATAGACTATTAAGCTAAAGTGCTAATAATCACATATGTAAACTAATGATAAATATTTTCGAAGTGCGCACCATTTGAATTTGTACAAAATTCTGTTCTTTTACGAGAACTCGTAAAAACTTTTTCTAACATGTCATTTTTAATGTTATGGTCCATCTTTTTAATAGCTGTTATTAAATCTGGCACTGTTGAAAAGATTCATCATTAGTTTATGTGATTCTTAGCACTTTTTTCATTACTTTTTATCAATAAAATAAACTGGTATACAAACATTTTATTTATATCCATTAAAAATTGCAGACTTTCCTCTTTCCAACACAATTTTGTTTTCTGAGCCACCGCTGGCTGATCTAAAAATTTACTCCTTTTGTTAACTTTTGCTATTTATATGTTTGATGTGAATAATATGAATAGGAAATTAAAATTAAAATAAGAATAGCTATAAATATATTCAAATATTTTTGTACATAAAAAACTTAGAAAGTAATTATTATTTAAAGGAACAGACCCAAGAAAAAAGATACGAGAAAAATAGTAGGAAAAATAATTAAAGGAATAATTTTTGCATTGTTTTTTAGAATTTTTTGGAAAAAATAAAATTTGAAAAACTTAAAAATTATTGGTAAGAGCAGTCGCCCGGAAAGTGAAAGACGCGGGTTCGATTCCCGCTTCAGCGACTTTTCGGACCTATATTTTTCTCGCTTATTTCTCCATATGTAAGTTTCGGACCTATATTTTTCTCGCTTATTTCTCCATATGTAAGTTTCGAAATTAATTTATATGTGGAACTTTGGGATCTCAAATTGAGATACAGTTCCGTTTAATTAATTTTCGTTTCGTTTCCTGGCTCTATTGCCCAGCTTAGAAGACAGCATACTTATATTATTTATATTGAGAGCCGATAAAAATATTTATTTCTGAGTTAAAAATTATTCTTGTATTATTATAACATATATCTTGACACTTATCATTTTCCTGAGGAGACAAACTTTAAATTTTTTCAATTTGATTACTTTAAATGTTTTGATATTGAAATTGAATATACTAAACTATAATCGAAAATATATACATATATTGTATATTTTTGAAAGTAAAATAGTTATCTACCTTGAAATTATAAACCCATTTAGATTTGAACAATTTTCGCATATTTTACGTATACGATCTAATAAAGTTATACGTCGATTGCCAAGCGTATAAAAAGTTCTTGCGAAAATAACAGCATCTTCATTTCCATTAAAGAATCCATTAAAATTCCATTCCGATTAAAGAATCTGCATGAAAAAGATTTTTATAAGCTCCAGTTGTAATAATTATATCGATTACTTTCGGCTCTAGATTAACTATTACGGTATGCGGTGAAAATAATCCTTCCTAAAAGTGTATTTATTAAAATTTGATGTTTTTGTGCTTTTAACAAAAAATATCCCAATTTATTATTTTTTAATTAGTATTAATTTTCATTATTTATTACTTTCGATCTTCATCGTTATTCAAATTTTACTAGGGAGAAGAGCAAATTAAAAAAATTAATTTATTAATTAAATCATTTATCAATTATATAAAATTAATTTTAAAATTATGTAATTTTTGTGTAAAACGGTACACAAAATTTTTTTATAATTTTAATAATTTCCGGTTATCTTGGTTGATCTGACATTGAGAGATGTTCATTTACAATTGAGAAACATGAAGGTACTTTTTCATATCGACGTTAAAAAACATTATCATATAATAAAAAATAAATAGTAATTATGTGTTATTATTTACTAGTATATATAAAATGTCAAGGGGATTTATCATTTTTTGTATGTTAGCAATTTTCTCCATCATGTATTCTTTGTAAGCCTTAAATTAAAATTCTGTTAACGTAATTTCTGAAATTAATTAAAGAATGTAGTTTTATTAATTTTTTAACTTTACAAAGTTTAATTTACGAGCTTTTCTTCTAATTTAATTATTGTATTTATTTTTTAATGTCTTATATTTAAATTCTCATACATGTTAAATATTTACAAATATTAAATTATAAGACATTATTTTAAGTTACAATAATATATAAACATTAATGATGCATCCAACTGAAAGAGCTTAACAACTTGTATATTTAATCTACAGAATACATGATTCATATTTTTGTAATATGTTCACTGGTTGTCTCTCTATAATATCTATGAATTTATAATATATTTATTAATTTAGTCAATGGCACCATATTATATACAAACATAATTAAAAAATTAATCATTGTTATTTCTATTATGTGATGATTAATATTTAGCAAAACAAATTACAACTAAAATATTGTCTTTTAGCAAAAATATTTTTGGTCACTTTTTTCTTGATATAATATACGTATATGTATATAATTATGGTGAAATATATACAATACTATTTAATTATATAATTAAGTATTGTATAGTATTATATAATTATAAATACAATTTATATTTTTAAAAGCTATCAAATATGTTTCCGTATCTTACAAGTACATATGTGCTTTTTGTTTATATACAATTTATAATTACTTTTAATTATCAATATATTTAAAAGCAGTAATAATTTTAACAATGTCAGTTATAATTTTCAAATGTTAACTTTTTCTGCATTTTTAAATTTTAGATATGAAAAGTTTATAGTTTACGAAGATGTAAAATCAAAAAGCGGCATTTCAAGAGGTGTTAAAGGTGGTAATGGTGCGAGACACAAAGGATGTTCTTCAGATCTAATATCATTGGAATTGACAGAAACTGCGTAGAGACGTTCTGTTAGCTGCCGCACTTCTTCTTCCTTTGCTTCCAATTGGCTAAGTAAACTTCCCACAAGAGATCGCAACTGACTGTTGACAGTTCTGAGTTCTTCTATAACAGTACCAGTGTCTTTGGGATGTTTAAAGCTTTTTTCTTCTGCATCAGGTAAAGATATTAAGCTTAAAAGGCTATCTTGCTCATCGATTGTTTTGTATATAGCTTGACGTAAAGAACCATCAAACTTATCGATCCTTATATTTGTACAATTATCTTTTTCAGTATATTTAGCTACATGCTTATTAAGTAGATCCTTTTGATGATTTTCTAATGTTGTTTTATATTCTTCGTACTGTACTTGTTTCATTCTGAAAACAATATTTGCTTTACAGTAACATAAAAAGTAGTGTATAAGATTATAGAATATAAAACAAATAATTTGAGATTCAAAAATATATACATAAATACCTGACAACAGCTGCTTGTCTTTTATGATAGTCTCGTTGCAGACTGAGGGATTCTAAAGTAACAAGCGATTGAATCGGTGTCAGAAACTTTGCTGTCTCTTGAGAGGATAATGTAGGTGCATGTATATGTATAAGGCTGGATTCGAGTTGTGCATGAGCCTCTTCTAGGAGATCAGCCACAGTTTCGTGACACTTTGCTGCTTCTTCAAACTTCCCCTCACGCAGTAATGCTTCTGCCTCTTCTCTGTTTTTCATGTGCCTTAAATTGAGGTTATTATCATATATTATTTTATTAACTATACACACATTCATATATCTAATAAATATACGAATATACGGAAATAAGACGTAATAATCTTTGAAATGCGCTCAAAATTATTGATAGCACCAATTATTGCGTTTTACATACTTTTATTTCGATAAAATATAGTACATCGTTAACTCTTCTGATAGAGATTATAAATAATTATTATTTCTCATTCATTTATACAAAAACAAATTATAGTATAAAAATACATCACCTATGAAAAGAAACAAGACTTACCAAATTCAAGGCAGACGTCTCCATGATTGTTCCATGACTTGTCAGTGAAAAGCATTAAATTAGCGCTTCTAGATCGTCGATTTTCGAAGGAAAGAAATGACTGTGGACAATGAAGCAAGATGGAAGAGGAATGTTCGCCGATTGGTCCATCGGCTAGAGAATTTCTAGGGTTGTCGAGGCACTAAAAGTACCTGTCGGCAGCCAATCAAATGCGAACCTAGCTTTTAGTCATTTCTTTCCTCTCGAGCGACCGATCAAGTGTCATTTTTTAATTCATGCTTCGGGGATAAATTTGCAAAATCTTGAGAAAACGCGCGAAGAGTTTTCATTCCGTTGCATCAAAGTAATATGGCGACATCGTTTACTTGCAGATTTTTATTTCCGTGTAACTTTCTGCATTAAAAGTTGAAGAGAGAGAACTCGACTATAAAGAATGTAAGTAAAATGAACAAATTTTTGTATATATAAATACGTTGAGTCTATATTGAAATTAGAAAGATCAATTAATATCTTTAGAAAACGAGCAAAAGTTTATTCTGGTGAATAAATGATATGGCGATGTTTTATTTGCAGATTTTTATTTCCGTGCAATTTTCTGCGTTAAAAGTTGAGAAGAGAGAAATCGGAGAACTTGATTATAAAAAATGTAAGTAAAATGAACAAATATATATATTATATATATATATATAAATTATATATATATATAAGTATATAATTATATATATAATTTATACATATATTAATACTAGAAAATAAAAAGTTGCAAAGTCTGTGAAAAAGTTTGCAAAGTCTATATTGAGTGAATATTTAAAAAATCAATCAATAAGAGGACTAGTTGGTGATGATACATATCAGAATTATAGATATAATTACAAATATTTATGACACCAAAATTTATTCATAACGATAAATATATAAATGGCTTTTGCAGAGAATATATCTTATTTATCTATTTATTTCAAAAGATTTGCTATATATCAAAAGATCAAAGAAAATCACATTTTGTAGCTTATTTCAAATAATAAAATTTTAATTTGAGGTTTATAATTAATAATGTCAAGAATAGGAATCGAGCGATGCACATAAATAACAATTTTTTCTTTTACTGAAGAATATTTGAATATTAAAGAATATTTTAAGAATTAATTTTAAGAGAATATATCTTATATTTAGATTTCAAAAGATTTGCTATATTCAAAAGATCAACAGAAATATTTTTTAGCTTTATTTCAAATATGAAATTTTAATTGGGTTTGTAATTAATAATGTCAAGAATATGAAATAAGCGATGCACATAAATAATAATTTTTTTTACTAAAAAATTTGAATATTAAAGAAATATTTTAAGGAATTAATATAAATTTAAGAGAAATGTCTTATATTTATTATATTTCAAAAGATTCGCTATATTCAAAAGATCATTAAAGAATATTTTAAGGAATTAATATAAATTTAAGAGATTATATCTTATATTTTATTTCAAGAGACTTGCTATATTCAAAAGATTAAAAGAAATATTTTTTAGCTTTATTTCAAATAATAAAATTTTAATTTGGGTTTGTAATTAATGTCAAGAATATGAAATGAGCATGCACATAAATAATTTATTTTTTACTAAAGAAATATTTGAATATTAAAGAATATTTAAGGAATTAATATAAATTTAAGAGAATATGTCTTATATTTATTAGATTTAAAAGCTTTTTATTATATTCAAAAGACCAAAAGAAATCACATTTTTTTAGCTTATTTCAATAATAAAATTTTAATTACAGGTTTATAATTAATCATGTCAAGAATATGAAATGAGCGATGCATATAAATAATTTTGTTGCTAAAAAAATATTTGAATATTTTAAAGAATTAATATAAATTCAAGATTAGTTAGTTGAACTCAAAAAACATCAATACATATTTATATTTAAATAAAAATGAATGTATCTTTATATGATAATATCCTTCAGGATCTACGCGTATGTGGTGGTTCAACACATTGAAGAAATGTCCAGCAGGAAATCTCAGGATTTTTGCAAACAAAATACTTTGTTTTCCCCGGGAAGTGTTGGCGAATATAATCACATCATCCATTCCATCAAGCACCCTAGCCAAGCCACGGCGCGTGCGCGCGCGAAGCTCATTCTGGTGAATGGGCACGGCTCGTGAACGCAAGAATCGGCGGCGATGTATGAATGAAATAGTAATATAATTGACAGAAGGGCAGGCGTGGGCAGGCCAGTCGTGCGTTCATTCAGACCAGGCTAGCAGAATGAGGTGCAAGACGGGAATGGAGCGCGAACATAGGATCGAGGTCATCATCATCTCTCTACCATTTCAGGATAAGCGATATCTAGCTTTTCTTTTTCGTCTCTTTCGTCATGTTATCGATCCCGCAATTGTTCCTCATTCAGGCTCTGCGCACAACAGAGAGAATACTAGGGGAATAGGATTTGTTTTAAAATAATAAAAGCGAAAGAACTCTGATATAAAAATACAAATTCGGGTATAGAGGACTAGTAAGAGCTAATAAATAATAGGGGCACTTTATACCTGAATTGTATTTGTATGTTAGTTTTTTCAATTTTATTTTAAAAATAATTCTTAATATTTAATGGTTGTTTCTAATATTTTTTCTATTGTTCCATTCATCTTATTCTGTAACTTTTTAACGCATGATTTGCTAGAAAATTTATAATTTCATTGATCCAAATCTACTTAGATAGCCACAGTAATTATTATGACCTTAGTTTGACGTCAAAACGACTACTTTCGTTATCTGGGTAGTAAATCGTGTTGAAAAATTGCAGAATAGGTTTGTTGGTCTAATTATCTTAATATAATCAGCTTTTGAATTGGACTCATTATTCCATTAATACCAGATGATAAAAGAAAATTAAACTTAGAAAATTACCCCACACAAAAATGTTGTATAACGCTGTTTTTCATTACTGTAGAATGAAAGGTGATTATAAAGGGAAAGTTTAAAATATATAAAGTTTTATTTTTTATTTTGCTTCAGATAGTAACTCAATTAAAATACCACATATTATAGTGATTATACACATTACAACTTTTTCTCTGCACAGTCTCCCTTTTGACTGTAAAAACATCCCCCTTTTTTGCAAGTTTCCCGCGCATTATATTTTTAATGCGAAAAATTGCGCAAATATCCCGGAGAGATCCGCTTGTGTGTACAGTCGATGTATCGGTGGAGGAACGTTGAAGAATATGGCGAGTTCTTGACCGGTCTGTCTTCTCCTTCTCTTCACTTCCCCTCTCTCTTTCTCTCTCTCTGCGGAGTCGTCGAGTGACGACCAAAGACGGTAGGAAGGTACGGTTTCCGGTCGCCCACGCGACAATCTAGTCGGGGGGCCTCTCTCTCCTTTTCTCTCATCGGCTAGCGTTCGTTGTGAAAATCCTCTCGATTCAGGTGTATGGATATAGGAGCGGTGAGTCTCTGGCGCAACACAGTCCGCTACCGTAGTGGGGTGTGTGTATGCGATGGGGTCTCTAATATTTGCGTATCCTCGCGTGACGCACCCGTCTCACGCGTAACGTCACCTTCGCTTCGCCTGAGATTTGCCTAATTTAGGAAAGCAACTTTGCGCTTCTGCATAAATACATAAGCATCGTATATATCTGATTCACACATGTGTGTGCATACTTGTATAATTTATTGTAATTATATAATTTTTATGTAATTTTCTGCAAAACAATTTCGTTAATTTCTATCTTGTGAATTTGAATCGAATTTGCAAAAGTAAATTTTACAGAAAATGAAAGAATAATTTGAAAATTATGATTAAAGAAGCATACAAACATTGCAGTACTTAAATCAAATTATCACAAATGAATGGAAATATAATTAACTTTTGTCTCAAGTTTCATGAAAGCAAACTTTTCATTTCCAATTTTTTATACTTTTGTGACTTCATATGTACTAATTAAATATATTGTGTATATTGTATGAGAAAAAAATTGCCAAATTGACGCAGATAATTAATAATGATTTTATTATTTTGTTTTAATGAGATAATATTCTCTCCAGGTATGTTTTACTTGATTTCCCGATACCTCAACGAAGTGGTGATCATGAAGGCACGTGGGCGACCGGAAACTATCCCTCCCACATTCGCGTGCCCTACCTCCTCAAAGGGAGTGTTAAAGAGAAAGAGATTCATGAAGAGCGAGGAAAGAAAAGAGAAAAAAATACAATATGCATAAAGGTGAGCGTAAAAGTAGTAAAATTTAGAGATCTAAAATAAAAATGAAACGAATAAAAAAATAAATAAATTATTGGATCCTTAAAAAAAACAATAAGATATTTTTTGGCTGTATCTTAATATTTTTGTACTTATATTTGATATAAATAGCCAGATTTATCAATTAATGTGTCACCTGCTGGATTCCTATTTTTCATGCGGTTACTTTTCCATGCTCTTCTTTACATGACAATATATTACATATAATATCAAATTAGACTTATGCATATATAAATAGTGTTATCTTAAAAATTTTGTTTTTTTATTTATTCTAGATTACAGAATTATTTAATTTTAGTATGAAATACAACGCGAAAAAATACTAGGATATTTATAATCATTTTTTTATACACACATATTTGATTATTTTGATGTTGTATTCTATTATTACTTTAACCAATATTTGCTGATAAATTTTATGATTAAAAAAAATGATTATAAATATCCTAGTATTTTTTCGCGTTGTATTTCATACTAAAATTAAATAATTCTGTAATATAGAATAAATAAAAAAACAAAATTTTTTAAGATAACACTATTTATATATGCATAAGTCTAGTTTCATATTATATGTAATATATTGTCATGTCAAGAAGAGCATGGAAAAGTAACCGCATGAAAAATAGGAATCCAGCAGGTGACACATTAATTGATAAATCTGGCGAAAATCACGAGTGCGTGCATATACGAGAAACGGGAGAAATATGGAGAAGAAACAGAGGGTAAGAAAGAGGGAAGAAAAGCAAAGGGGAAAAGATAAGAAAAAAAAGAGAAAAACAATAAAACAAAAATGACGACGATGGCGATGTAGAGGGAAACGAAAAACGAACGGGTAAATAAAGATCGACCCGTCTCCCACGCTCGTGTGACCATTGTTATTATATATCCCGTGGGGTATTGTTCCCATGGGAAAACTGGACAGGCTCGTTCTACCACCTTATAGTTGCGAGTGCGACAAGGAGAGAAAGGAAAGAGACAACCCGCGCGAGAGCTCACCAACACACTCGCTTATGTAGGTCCACACACACGCACAGACACATACATACATGCAAGTCAACGGAGCACAAGTTTCAAATAAGGCCCTGCGCACAATAGAGAAAATATTAAGACTAAATATTAAATATTAGGAATGATTTTAATAAAGGATTAGTAAGGACTTTAAATGATCATAAAAGGGATTAATAAGGGCTAATGAACTAGCGAGAGCTTTTTATACTCTAATTTGTATTTTTATATCAGAGTTTTTTCGACTTGAATTATTATTTTAAAATAATTCTTATTCCCTAATATTTATTCCTAATATTTTGTCTATTTATCCCAATATTTTTCTATTGTCCGCGGGACATAAGACGAACACAGCCGTATGAGGCAACGATGCACGCACAACGTACACAGATTTTAGATATTGTGGGGGACGTTCACCTCGCATCTCAGACCCTCGTCGAGCTCGTTCGCGGGTCCAGAGTGTATGCATGCACGTTAGTACCATTCCTCGTATGAGAGACGTTATAAGGAGTAGTATCCGAAGACGTATATATGTATGTGTGCGAAGTACGCGCACACACATATACATGCAACTTCTATGCCACGAATGTCCACGACGGAGGTCTTTCGGTGGATGCTTGAGGAACAGGGTGCGGCTCAACCTACCTCGCTTGAATTACCTACCAATATTACTGTCTAGCTAGGTATATATTCGAACGCAAGCGACACAGGATATTATGCCATATTTGCATCCTTGATCCAGGACACGTGCGGATCCCTCTTTTCCTCTCTTTTGATATACTTTTACCTTTCTATCTGATTTTTTATTATTTCTAAAAATTTTTTTCAAATCTCGAACAGTTTTTTTTTATATCATGATGACATATTTTGTGTGTTAAAATATATTATTTAAAAATGGCAGAAAACAAATAAATTATTCAGAGGGATAAGGTTTTAAAAATGTATCTATAAAGATAGAGATATATTTTTTCAAAAATGTACGAAGAATAAAATCAAAAAGAGAAAATTGTTGGATCTATATATTGTTCTTTAAATCTTCAAACTTATCGCTATTGCATGTAAATTATTCAAAACTTTATTTTGATGAAAAATCTTTTCAAATTGTTTAATATAGATAATTGCGATAATCTTGATACGATTCAGCTACATAATGACATAACACATTCGTATGTTTTAATTGATAAGCATAATAATATAAGTTTCAAAGAGACAAGCTTTTAAATAATCTCATGCATGCTATATTTCGCTAATAAAAATCGTTATAGTATATTTCCTTATTTTTTTAGTTCATAATTGGTATCTAAATAATTAAACTAAATAAGTGTATGTCACTAATGAGATATTTCGGCAGATAAAAAGCGTTTTACATGATTAATTACCTGAAACGCAATTAAATTTGACTAATTTAGTTTATATTATTTTCGAGTGAGGCAAGAAATTAATTTCGAAATATAGTCTCTGCCTGTTCCTCTGCATTTGACGGACCGGAAGACGCTCATAAGGGACATTGACGCGAAGAATGTGATGATAATGAGATGGGTCATGATCATTATTTGAAAAAGTTGAGCGAAGCATGAATATTGTATTTTATGCCATTTTTAAATAAAAATTCTGCCCGCAATTATATATAAATATAAATTTTTATAAGAATATAATTCAAAGAGAGAAAGGTAAAGGAGTAATTAAGAGAGAATAATAACAACTATATATATTTCTTTGATAGGTTTTATTCGGTCATTTATTTTTATGATAAATGTAAATAGCGTTTGCTTATCGGAAAAAATCTTTCTTTAAAAGATAAAGGAGAGAGAACAGTAATGTAATTAAGATTATCGTCGCACGAGATCGAAGGGACAGATCGATGTAAAGATGACACAACACACCATGTCGCAGTAAACCGTTAAATCTCAAATTCCTCGCATTTCTGTGTCATTCTAATAGTAGTAACATCGTCGAAATATAGCTGCATTCGAGACGATGCACAAGATGACTTACCTTACCAAACCGGATGATCTCATCATGCGGAAACTGCTTAATTAATTGATATCATAATGGAGACTGCGATGCATTTTCTTCATCATTATAATAAATAGCATTTTCTGTACATTAATTGCAGTAAAAAGACACATAATGTCAGAAGAAAAGTTTGAATTGCATCTAATTATATTTGATAGTAAAGAAAAATTGTTTAAAGTTTTAAATGGATGATATCGATTTGAGACAAGAATTTTATATTATTTACTATATTATTATGTGTTTGTGCATATGTGTAAACTGATCTCTATATATCTTTAGTAGTTGTCTTTTTATAGTGCATTTTTTATTACTTTGCTTGCATTTTTATCCTTTTGTTGTGAATCTTTTATCTATAATATAAATAAATTCCGACCTTGTTAATAATAGAAGTAACACATTTTAAAATATAATAAGCTTATTTGTGAAAAATATTTACACAAAGATAGTCAAGTAATTAATTATTTTTGTGTTAATTTGTTATTAACACTTGTAGATTGTACTTTATTTAAGAAGTAAAAGATAAGGGTTGAAACATTCTGTTAATATTTGTTTTTGTTTCTAAAACAATATGTTGAATTTCTGAATATTCTATAATATATAATTAAAAAAATTTTTTTTTTTTTTAATTTAACATTCTTAAAAAGTAAATATTAATTATTATTTCTAACATATACATATACGTACACGCATACAATATAATGTAAAAGATTATCGGAAGAATATACATATATTATAATAGAAAAGAGCGAACATGATAGAAGAATATTTTATTTAAAATATTTATTTATATTTATGAAACAGAAGTGTGAATTTGAAACATTTGACTAAGGAACTCCTGCCATCTCTCAGGGTGTGCTATAACCGTATCACAAGCCAAGTAGCTACATATCGGTGGCCGTTTCATAATTATTGAGCAGCGTAATGACCGAAGCGATTTGAAGCTCGTTGAAAATAATTTGGTCCAAAAACAACTTTAAAATTCTTTAAATTGTATTTATTATAATTCTGGAAATATTTGATACAGAGTAATTTTTTATGGTACTTTTCCAAAAAGTTAAACGTTTTTTATTTTTTATTTGATAACATATGTCATATGTCATTGAAAATGTTCTTTTATACAAAATCATTGGAAAAGAGCTTCGTATTTTTAAAATTTTTATTGTAAGAAGAAAATTCTTAGATTTTTTTTATCAAAATTAAATAGCTTAAATTTATATATTTATTATATTTATTTTATCTTATTCTAGTTAATTATTAAATTAATAATGTATGAGCTCATATATTTTAATCTTATGTTTCATCTTTCACATATATTAAACACGAATACATATATAGTTCTGATAATGAATCATGATGTATAAATATCTAAACAATCCGGAGCAAAACACATCTACATCTACATATAACTTTATATATTAAACCATTCTATCTATATATTCTACTCATTTTTTGTGTCACGTTATTAATAAATAAATTACATTATATAAGTTTATAGCTTCCGCTGTTTACGAGTTTTATTTTAATCGTCAATATTTAACCGCAGTCTCCGCCTTGCTCAATTGGTTCCTTTTTTTTCTGCTTTCAGTCTCTTGGAGCGTACGCCTTAGACTTTCACCGAAAGGAACTCTTAACCGTTCATTCATAAATTGATGATTGAAGGTTCTCCTGTTCTCCGTTTGGTCACGAGTGATATGCTCATGCGCGTTTCACGCGTAGCGGCACGAGAGAGATCAACTCTACTCTTTATAACGTTTTTTTCTTGAATATTACATCGCAGAGAGTCACGACAGAGCTAAATGCACGCGAGCACAGGTATGCAATAACCAATAATCTTCATTAAATGCTTGGCGACCCGTTCAGATATATGAGAGTTTCAGTGCAAACTGGCTTTCAAAATCTATCGCGCTGATATATAATTGTATATAACGCACTTTAAATGTGCAATGTCCTTAATTGCGCACAATAATTTATACGCACGAAAATTTACTATTAAAGTCTTTGGATTTTTATGTCTTATGGTTTTAAGGTAACAATTTTAAACGTTAATGTAATATTTGTGTTTTACATTTATTTGATACACGCAAAAATGTTTTAGTAGAATTTTTAATTAAAATTTAGCCTGAAATTCATGGTAATCGTGGAACAATATGGTATTGGAAGAATGTTATAAGAGTTTTTCTGATTAATATTTATCACATAATATGATATAAAATATGTTTGATTAATTCGATTCAAATATATAGTGAAATATTTCACTAATTTTAAAATAAATTAAAAACTGAAATGATTCTTTAAGTGTTTTAAGTAGAATAGATACAAAGAAGTGATAAACATATAAAACATGTTCATATCAATTTTATAATGCAACATGATAATTTTCGATTTAACTACCGAACATGAAATTTGTAGTGAATTTTGCGATAAAATGATAACGACAAATTCTCTCCGTGTATATATATTATTATATTCTTATAACAATAAAATTATAGAGATAAGTTATTCAAAGAATGCCTATAACAATTTTAATCATATATTGAAGGGACATGATTGCATATTAAAAAATGTGTACAATGTTAAATCGATATCACAAAAAAGGGAAAATTTATTTGTGTGTTGAATTTATTTGATACATGCAATTGAAGTTTGAGTAAGTAAAATTTACAAAAGGTGAACATATAATAAAATAGAAAAGTTGATTAGCCTTTACTAGTCCTTTATATTCAAATTTCTATTTTTATATCAGAATCTTTTCGACTTCATTTTAAAATAATCCTCATTTCTAATATTTAATATTACATTCTTATAACAAAACTGTAGAGAATTATTAGAAGAACGCTCTAACAATTTTAATTCACGAGTAATTAAGGGGACATAATTAATACATATTTAAAAAATGCGCAAAATGTTAAATCGATACCATGAAGAGGAAGAAGAGAAGGAAGACGCGAGAGAAAAATATTGCTCATACTACCAAAAAGAAGGAAGAGAAAGAACAAAAATAAGAGACGAAACGGCTGAAGGTACCGAAGGAAGAAGAGAATCGTGAAAAGTATCGAGATAGCAAGAATATAGCAGGAGAGATATCCGACGCAAGGGCGCGCCGAGGACTCTCTCGGGATGGAAAAGAAGAAGGAAGAAAAGAGGTGTGGCACACACGGATCTCTAGCATTGTCCGACGCGACGGCGCGCGTTCGCGTGTCAGGACTGGTCCATGCACCATCCAAATCTATGTATACGCGGCAAGAGATGTACGTGCATTAACCGCGCTCACGCATAGGAAAGGAGTCGCCTTCGTATGTACCCTCGCAACCGACTCCGCTCGTGCACGCACGTGCGTGTGTAAGACGGCTACACCACAAGCGTACACGACAGACCAGACCGGTATTCAGAGAGTCAAAGGAGAGAGGAGCGAAAAAAGAGAGAATAAGACGCGATGTGACAGATGGAGAGGGTAGAGAGAAGGTTGGCAGAAGAGGGAGTAGGCACGAGCCTAACCGCAATCAACATCCCACGCGCCTGGACCAACATTTAGATTCGCCTTCTCTCTCGCTCTCTTTTCGTCTCCTCCGCCCTTTCTCTTATTCTATCAATGACGAAAAATTTATTAACTTTAACTAAGTATTATTTTGTTAAATTGAACATGTGAATATTTAAATTAAATCTAACAAAATGTATATTTTTTTGACTTAAATATTAATATATGTTTAATTAATTAATAGTAATGTTTTACTTTAAAATTCTTTGAATTTAGTTAATGTCTTCAAAATACACATATATAATATGAATTTGATACAGTATTTCTTTAATAATCTGTCTACGTTTCAAAGTGTTTTACACACACCACACTACTATCAATATAGATTACATAGATTTCACAGATATTAATATTGTAGTATTTACGTCAAATATACGTTTTGTTAGATTTAATATTATATTTAATTTATATATTTTTATATGTTCAATTAATAAAATAATATTTAGTTGAAAGATTTAGTCAAGTTAAATTTTTTTTTCAGTGTATTTTTTACTTTATTGACTATCTATATATCTGGTTTAGTTTTCTAAATTTATTATTAGATATAAGATATTATGTATGTATGTGTGCACGTGTGTGCGTATAATTCTGATGTGCTCAATTTCCATGTTATAAATACGAATAATATGATATCTCCGTTATTACGAATAAGCAGGAATTATTTTCACATATCTATAGCACATCGAAATCTGGATTTATTAAGAGCAATCAAGAGCATAGATTCAGTGCTTATTAAGGTTTAATTAAGAATCTATTTAACATACATTCAAGTAATTTTTTTGCAAAGCATTTTTAATCTATTATATTTATTTGAACGATAATACATTGGAATGTAAAAATTCGATCTTAATTACCATCGAACCGATCAGAATCGATGTCATAAATCGAACATGTTTTGTAGAGTACGTTAAGTGAAAGTTAAATAAGCACAACATTATTTGTTAATCATCTGCCTCATTGTGTGTTTATTTAACCTCGTTATTTCGTTCTTTACACAAGCTGAATGCACGGACAATATTAATCTTTACATATTTTAGGTACAAAGCAAATATATACTGACATAAAGTTTAACTAATTACAGTAAAATTTGTTTTGATCAATCAAAAAATTTCGTAGATGTATTTAAATGTTAATCAAACAATAAGTTATAACAACAAAATATTTTTAATAGATAATTTAGTAAATCTATAACACACGAAATATATGTTATTTTATGAAACTTATATATCTAATATAAATATAAATTTAATTTATTTTTTAATAAGAACCTCACTAAGAAAATTACATTAAAATTTGGAGTCTGAATAATTTTAATATATGTATATATCTGAAAAAATTACAAGTTTTACAAGTTAATATTTATGCACAATAAATTTTTAATATAATATAAACGTTTCTCTCTCTCTCAAGAAACGATCAAAGAGTGGACATAAAATTTATTCTTTTCCGCGCGATCGTGTTGAGTCTTAAATTGTCGAATCGTCTCGTGAAATAAGATCCAGAATAAATTACAGACAAGTCATCTCTTCTTTGGTCCTCGTTTCTTGTTTTCTCGTTCTTACGAGATCGTTTTTCCGTATGCTTCGAGCAAGAGATTACGATTTCGATCGAGACGACGAACGTTGTGTTGTTCTCTTAAAAAAGAAAGAGAAAAAAAGAGAACTCGTTGTGCCCTGACGCGATAAAGAGCAACGATCTGGTCAGCCCCGAGTGGTAGAGCACATAATAGCCAGAACGAAATCGTATTAAGGCAACGGAGAAACGTTTATTCGGCTTTTTATTGAACCAATGTAGCATATACGAGTATGTCACTCAATATGCCTTTGACTTTTTTTCCTTTGACCCTTGCGCATCTCTTTATACATGCACCAATCATTGTTATAGCATTTACAATCTCGCTGGCTAAAAGTTACCATTTCTCGCACGAGTTTTTAACATTTTTGTTCCAGAGGACGTTACCGAAACTAATCAGCTGTCATTTTTTAATGTATCCAGTTATTGAGAAAACAAAAATTGTGTTGGAAAGAGGAAAGTTTGCATTTTCTTCATGGATATAAATGATAAAAATTTTTTCTAACATGTCATTTTTTGTGTTATTGACGATCCTTTTAATAGCTACTATTAAATCTGGCACTGTTGAAAATATTTATCATTAGTTTGTGATTTTATGTAATTATTAGCATTTTTTTATTACTTTTATCAATAAAATAAATTGATGTAAAAACATTTTATTTATGTCCATTAAAAGCTGCAGACTTTCCAACACAATTTAAAAAAATGACAACTGCATGATTAGTTTCAGCAATTTCCTATGAGTTACCCTGTATTAAAACAATCTGCTAGGATCGTTAAGCTTTTTTCTCGTATCAGTTCAGTCTGGAATATTAATTAAACTTATGAATACTATAACAATGATGTCAGCTTCGTGTGATGTTTTCAAGCAAAGAAAAAGAAATCACAAGATTCAAGTAGATAATAAAATAAAATGTGAAATATATTAAAGATTATTATATTGTATACCTTGATTGAAAGAAGACTTTAAACATTATAGTGACGATATAATTTTCTTTCTTTCATTGTTTTTTCTGTAATACATTGTTATTATTATTTTTAATTTAATTGATAAAAAATATTGGAAAAATAATTGTATATTTTCCAATTTTTTTTTTAATTAAAAATTCTTACAATCTTGTAGATACAACACTCTCCACTTTAGTAATCATCGAAATGTTGAACGTAGACATATTGAAATTAAACAGCGCACAATAGGTATACTAATACAAGAGTAGTCACAGCACACGCGAACGATCTCGTAAGCATGTGTAAACTGAATTGAATAATTTCTTTTGTATGGTATCAGTCATAACACATACTTGATACATGAATAGAATCTAAGGTTGTTGTGCCTTGCAAATCAATTTTAATACAAATACACATTGTAATACCGCTTATTATAAATTCCAGGCTCGCGAAACGTTGTAAAACGAGAAATTAGAGAATAGAGATTATGCGAATAAAATTAATAAAATTACTCCGGCCTACTCCTTGCGTGCAGAGAATATCACGAGCAAGAAGGGAGAGGCAAATTTTGTATTTTCCTGCAGGAGGAAGCGTTGAATGAAAAAATGAGAAAAAGGCAGAATCTTCGTGAATTTATAAATTTGACACGATGTGTTAGACGGACCTACTGGTCCGACTTGTCACCGAATAGGAGAGGTGAATGAGACGGGTATATACATTCATCACTCAACGAGTCCTCTCGCCATACATCTCGGAGGCTCGGCCCTCTCATTCCCTCCCAAGTTGTTACGCTCCCTCCTGCAGTCTGATCGAGCGCGGAAGCCCAAATAAGGGGAAATGCACGGCGAATTAAGCCCTCTCTTTCTCATGTCTCGCGCGATACCTTGAAGAGGCGCCAGCGTCAAATGGAGCCTGCAGAAGAAAACGCTTGAAAAATCGGCGAGAAGCCGATCCTTCAGTCCGGAATCCTAGAATTTAAAAGCTTCCCGGATGAAAGATTCATTAACTGCATGTTTCGCCAGTGTTAAAATATAATGTACAACCGATCAGCGTACCATTATTGTGTTAATGTACCTACATTTTCAGAATGTAATGTTAGAAAAGAGAGGGAAAAAGAGAATATATTATATATTTTTCATTTTGTGTCTATATATCGTAAGAGATTTGTATATAGTATTTGTTTAATATATTGTAATAGTATTTTAAATCTGTTTATATGTTTTAAAGATGTATGATATATAGATACATGTAAAAAATATAGGCAAAACTCTATTCCTTTCTCTTTTGGTTCTTGTACTGTAAAACATGGATGTCCGCAGGATTTTTTTCAGGAGGGAGCCTGATTGAAATTTTTTGTTCTTAATTTTTAAATTTTTATTTCCATTTTTTTTTTTTTTTATATATAAATATGCCAACAAATTTCAATATTTATTCAATAGGAGAGCAAATGCTTAATTTTTTCACTGATTTCAAAGGGATGCACACAAATGCTCCCTCTTTGTCTCCCTCTGCGGACGCCCATGTTGTAAGACAATTGCGGTTTAAGAAAGACAATTGCGATTTAAGAAAGACAAGAGTATCATCATTATGACGTATGCGATCATTCAGTGATACTGCGAAGCGCATATCTTGAACGCGATGGGAGGAGCCCGATTCGCGGCTCGCAATTTTTAATGGCGGATTTTTACGGCTCGCCAATGATATGCTCGCGAGTCTTTCGTTCCCGTTCCAAGATTCAGTGTACAGTTTAACGTTTTTATTATATATATATATGTATGTACATATATATATGTATATATCAATCACAAGCGTTACGTGATTTGATTTGAGGAGAGCTCCTCGAAGCAAGCGCGCGTGGGACACGCTGCCTTGTCGCGTGCCTCGCCACTTCTTCAGTGTCGCTCAACCATAAGTTCCTCTCGTGCAGCATAGCATATAAAATTATTTCACACACACACAGAATTATTCCGGGTTTAGCGCACAGAGTTTGTACACGGAGATCATTTTTTAAAATTTACTTTGAAAATCATGTAGTAATCGTGGGACGATATGGAAGAATTTTGTAAGAATTTTGTAAGAATTTCTTTGATTAATATTTACCACAATAAAAATTATTATGTACATAGTAAAATTAATCGAACATCTTGTATATCTTATTGTGGTAGGTATTAATATTTTATTTTATTTTACTTTTTTTCTTACAAGAATTCTTCCAATACCGAAAATTGTCTCACACTGAAAAAAATGTGTTAACGTGACTAAACCTTTCAATTCTATTTTATTAATTGAACATATATTAGTATTTTGGTATACCTTTTATTAGATTTAATGTTATATTTAATTTAAATATTTTTATATGTTTAATTAACAAAATAATATTTAGTTGAAAGGTTTGATCAAGTTAATAAATTTGTTTTCCGTGCACGATTATTGTAACTTTCAGAATAAATCTAAGAGAAAATTCTCTCTGCGTAAATAGATATTATTCAATGAAATTTTTACTCAGTTCAGTTATTTATTTTATTCCTTGTATTCATTATCAAAATTCCATCTGAAAAATACTCTTCAATGCTATATGCATTTGTATATCTCTTTATCATTATATACGGATTATCTGTTTGTATTGTTAAATGTAAGTTGTTTAAATTAAGCTCTGTATATTCGATTTTTTCCGTACCATAATGCGTCTGTCTGAATGAATTATGTTTACTGTATTACATCTACTTTCACATTTGAGAGAACAGCGCAGGTTCTCATAAGTTAAGATGTCTTTATCAATATCTATGAATTCTCTGTCTAATGAGACGATGGTCGACGATTTGTTTTGTTAACAAAAAGTTCTTTTTTTTCAAGCTAAACTCAGATTTGTAAATAATATATAAAAGTTAGTGTGAGAATATTTTTTTCTAAACGAATTTGTACAGCTAAATTATCCTAAAGTAAATTTGTGTGTTGTAAATTATCCTGAAGATAATTTTAAGAGCGATACAGAAAGCGAATTTAATGGACGTATAAGAAATAGAGTCGAATGTATAAAATTTTCTACCATATACCACAGCATGAAGCAAAGTACGAGATAGGAGACACAGCTCGCTTACCGTTTCGACATACGAATGATATCATCGCTCGCAGGAGCGGAATCAGTTATTTTAACAACGCGCGCGCATTCACTTATCGCAAGTGATTTAGCTGCGAGCTACAATTTTTAAATATGTAGATCCTAGATGTCTATGTAAGTTTGATCTTGTACCGCGTCAAATTGGGTATTCTAAACACTTTAGTATAGCCACTTAACATAATAATAACTCACAGCTACAAAATATTTCAACTAACGAACGAGATATATATTTTATTTCAGAGCAATTCGTTCTAATTTATTAATATTAAAATATGACATTTTTTATTTTAAGTATACGATATATATATATATATTTTTATACAAAATATTTTATATTTCGTGTTATATGTAATGATATAATTTTTATATAATTTTTTATTTCTATTAAATTATATTTAATTTTCTAGCAATCAATTAAAATGAAGGATTAGCGCCTGCTGCGTGAATATTTTCCTAATCGACCTAGATTATTCTTTTTATTCTCTAGATATATTGATAACAATTTATCTTTGCGAAGCATCAATGTTTACTTGATTTCATACGTGCGGTTCGCAAGAGAGAGGGAAGAAATTCTTCCTTTATCATTTTATTTTTCCTCTTCTCTTCCTCAGCCTCGCCGTAACCAAAACCCAGCTGTCTTTCACGGCTAGCTCGCGTACTGTAACTCGTTCTCCACCCACCGGGGAGGGATACGAAGTAAGGCAACGGTCCTGGAACCTGTTTCGAACCGTTTGAGAGTCTCTGTCCTGCCTCGTCCTCATCGTCCATCCTTCATCTCCCATCCTTATCCCACTAACCACCTTCACCTTTTGCGCCTCCTTCTCGCTCCTTCCCGGTTCTCTTTTCTCCTTTCTTCATAACATCCTCTCCTCATTATCTCACCTCTCTCTCTCTCTCTCGCTCTCTCCTTTCTTCTCCCTCTCTCGTTGGTGTTGGCTCCACGTATTCCGGCGCGTAATATCACGCACATCATCGTCATCGCGAGGATGTGTACGCGTGTCTCTCCATATATGAAGGAAGCTCCAGAGGAACATGAACCAAGACGGCTGGCTCGACGGATGAATGAGAAAGAGAAAACGGATGGGGAGGAAAACGCCGAGCGAAGAGAAGACTGCGCGGGAGGGAAGAGGAGAAGAACAAGTAGGGGCGGTCATCCTCGCTGAGAGAAGAAGGCAAGGCGGATGGGGTATGGCACACGCCACACGCCATCATAATGGAATAATGAGGCAGAGAGACGATAGCAATCGCGCAGAGGCTCTTTTTCCGCGCAAGACGACCGTGTATTGAAGCGCCCGTGAGAGAGCATAGAAACGTCGTGGATGAATTGAGCAAATCAGAGCCACATCCGATGAGGTCAGATCGGAGACTCGCGCTCATGCCTCCGAGACTATGCGTGTTCTCCGGGCTATCGTAAATAAGTGCAGGCTATTACGAGATGTAAGAAGTTCCTTATCTCGCGCGTTAGCAATTAGTAATGCGTATAAACATCACGCGTCATGTATCTTCATTATTATGTATACGTTGATGAACATATCTTATTGTTATTCATATTTATCATGTGTGCGAATAGGGAAAAAAATGTCTAATGTGTTGTAAGAAGGCAAATGTAATCTTGATGCATATACACTAATCGATACGATAAAAATGATGTAGCTCGATCGCGATATTCATGTTAGGTCATATTAGCCGATTTTTTCCAGCCTATCATGAAAAAGGAACAAGGGCAACGGTAGGAGATTACAGCAGAAGAAGAAGCTGTGGCACGTGACCCCGAAGAACACCAGAGTCAACTCGCTTAAGTAGCCGAGCTCTGCTCTTTGACCCAGCCGACAATTTCAAATTATGTCTCTCGGAGGGAGAGTGGGACAGAGAGATAGAGAGAGAGAGAGAGAAAAGAAGGAGAGAGCGGATATATACTATAGTCAGAAACATACTCCCCTCCTTGCAATGAAGGTAACGTTCATTCGCAACTTCTCATATCTAAGGCGACCAGAATGCTAATCTGGTGTCGCTCGTGGCTTCGCCGTAATTAGTCAGGATGAGATGGTTCGAGAGCCAGGCGCGCTCTATCTGTAATCTGTCGTTGAATAGAACTAGGCGCGAGCTGAAAAAGCCAAGTAAAACTTGAACGAGCGATTGCAGAAGTTTATTTGCGAATTAACAATGTTTTATTTTTTTTTTTTTTTTAGCTATTCTTGTTCCATTTATTTATTGAAAATAAGTACACTACGTTTCGACCCACATTGTGGTCCTTTTCAAGTGTTGTTCTTATTCAGCAATTAAAAATTACATTAATTAAAAATAGAAACATGAAAGTCCTGTCATATCGACAATCTGTTAGCTACTGTTCAGTGTGTTTCTATTTTTAATTAATGTAATTGCTGAATAAGAACAACACTTGAAAAGGACCACAATGTGGGTCGAAACGTAGTGTGTACTTATTTTCAATAAATGAATAGCCAGTTTTTGGTCGAATTAAATTGCATCTTATTATTTGTTAAAATTTTATCACTGGCGATCAACAATTAATTGTGAAGATTCTTGTTCCATGTCGCTTTTATACTCAAAGATTGACTTACGACGTATATTTAGAGGTGTAAATAATTTTTTTTTTTTTTAGGTATATGAAATACTGCCAATGTTTCCGCGGCGAGATAAATTCGCGAGAAGGACTCGCGGCCAACTGGAGAATCGCTGAAGACTGCAACAACGTGCGTAGTTGTAGTTTGCTGAGGAAGACAAATGATCCACTCGGACGCGAGACAGTTAGCGTACGGCGGAGAGGCGTCGTTGGCCACGAAGAAGCGCCTCTTGGTTCGCCCTAGGGCACGCCGAGCCGAGGCTCGCTCGCTTGATCTCCATTGCCATTATGATATTAATGAAATGCCGCTAAAAAGGTGTGTTTGCTCGGTAACACGAGGCCCGTAGCCAGGGTGGGAGGAGGCGAGATAGATGTTAAACCTACGTAAAATGCTCTTACCCGATATGGGCGCGCGCACGCCTGTGATTATGCCACCGCCGTAGAGATTTAGAGTGTTGTCGTAGCTGTTTCCGTCGTTGTCGTCATCGTCGTGTTGTCGTTGTTGTAGTCACCGTCATCGTCGACTATCGTCGGGACTTCCTTCCGCCATTATCTTTTTTTTTTTTTACGATTTCTAATCGATTGTTGCTCTAATTTTGCCTCCTCCCATCTTATTATTCTTATTATTACAAAGGGGTTAAAAGAGGAACAAGAGGAATTTTGAGATCTCAACCATAGGATATGAATTCCCAAGTTTCTTAATTTTCGCAATAACATTGCGTTTGGCTCTATTGGTCGATATATATATTATGTATTTATTTCGAGAGCCGACTAAATATTCTTAATACTGCATCTTATTATCATTATGATTTTTTTATTGACAATTACATTTTTGCACGTAATATTTGCTTGAAAATTCTCAAATATTAATATTTATTGAAAATGCTAGTACGAATTGTGATTCCAAGACGAGAAGCTACTGTCCTTTCTCGTCCGAAGGACGAAATCGGTTCAAGTTACGAGAGGCTAACGAACTCTGAACCCTTTCGTCGTAATGTGTGTTTTGTGGGCTATAGCCCGGTCCATTCAGGTTTTCCTCCAGCTTTTGCGCTTTACGAGATTTGTTGCTGAAATTGTTGTCAAATCTTTTCGGCGCTACTTCGCCAATAATTCCTCGCGTTGTGTCACCGATCGATTTGTTGTCTTCCGGCACGCGCGTGCAAAAGTAAGAAAGAAGAGAAGATAAAGAAGATAAACTCGGACCAGAAGAGTGGAATTTGCAGGGAGATGAAGAAAGAGAGAGAAAGCGAGAGAGAGAAGATATGTGAGAGAAAAGAGGACACGCTTGGAAAGAAAGATGGAAGAAAAAGACTCTCTCTCTCTTTCTCTTTCGTACGGGGGTGCGCCCACGCTGGTGACGTCACCCGGCGAACGTCGGTTGTGGTACCGGCGATGAACGCGTTGGTGTTCAAACGTTCGGGGCACTGAGAAAGAGGAAAGATTGACGAGACAGAGACGCTATCGTGTCTCGAGGAAGGGAACGTGGAGCCGGTCGTAGCAAGGGGAGGGATAGCCGGATGGAGAGAGGACACCGGCGAGATGTACCGGGTTTGGATGGGGAAACTAAGGTACACGCGCGCGAGAACGAGAGAGAGAAAAAAAAAAAAGAGGAAAGAGAGAGAGAGAGAAAGGGAGAAGACATCTTTGCACGGAGGAGGGTGGCGAGGGAAAGGAATGAATGGAGATTGCAGACCACGCGGGAGAGACGAATGGTCCGGAACCCGTGGAGGAAACGGGGGCGAGACAAGGGCGAGGAGAGAATTCTCTCCTCGCGAGAAGAGAGGAAGCGAGAGAAGAACCAGAAGAGGGGAAACCCGTGCGAGAGGAGGGGAGGAGGGCTGTTTCGCGTAGACAATCACCGTCAACAGTAGCGGGAGTAACCACGGGGTAATGTCGACGACACACGTGACACTGCTGAATCTCCGTCATCGTCGCCGGCGAATCGAGCGCGAACGACGACGTCTCGCGATCGCGTTCCTCCTCGCTTCTTCCCATCAAGTGTTGCTTGTTGCAACGCGCGAACGTGCGAGCGCACTCTCCAGGCACCCGACAGCTTCGCGCGCGAGCCACGCTTTATTAGTCTAGCGCGGGCCATCTCGTGAACCCCTTTAGTTCGCCTCGCTACGCTTCTTCGCCTCGCCTCATTCTCGCCGGATCGGATCGACGAGAGGCCGACGTAGATGTGAGTGAGTCTAAGCGTGATAATAGGAACCGACAGTGAGGATAAGGTTCGCGAAAGAGAAGACTAAAGTCGAGGAAGAGAAGATCCAAGGAGGGGCCCACAAACGTGTCAAAGAGAGCGGAAGGTCGATGCGCCGCGCCGAAGGAGAAGAGAGTACCGTATCCTGGTGATTTACCTGCGGTGTATTATAATCAGCGTGTTTATTCGAAATCTCGCGATAAGCTCGTGCTGCGAATGCAAAACAGTCGCTGAAGAGGACAACCCTTCGGATGAAGGCAAGGCAACGGGGTGTCTTCGCGACGCCGTGACATGTACGAACGTTTCCCGTGGTTGTTTTCCTCGTTGTCGGCAGAGACACGCGAGGAGGCGACGGTAGCACGGCGCGAGGAAGAGGAGGAGGCACGAGGAGGATCGAGAGCCCAGATCACGTCATCGACGGCGACCGGCGACAGCGGGACAGGAACTTGAAAAGATGCTGGCACTCGCGATGCGCCGCGAACACACAACCGGGCGCAGCAATTACGAGCCCGCGAATCCGCTCGCGGGTTTTGAGCACCTGCAGCACAACAGCGGCGGGAATTCGTTCGCGGTGCTACCCGGCACCGAGGGTCGGGCGCGCGAGACCGCGCGACCGGAGGCCGAGGGTGAGTTGCAGGAGTTTGTGGACATTGCGCAAGTGCAGCAGCTACTCCAGCAGCAGCAGCAACATCAGCAGCAGCAGCAGCACCACCATCATCATCATCATCACCAGCAGCAGACGTCCGCGGCGGCCGCGTCCTGCATCTGGGGTGCGGTTTACCCTCCGCCGCCGCCTACCCTGGGATACCATCATCATCATCATCATCATCACGCGCCGCCACCGCCGCCATCAGGTGATGATACCAGAGTATATATAAGCAAACTTCCCGAGCAGCAAAACTGACGTCATTGAACGTCAAAATGCCGGTATTTTGACGTCCGATGTCATTAAACGTCAAAATGAGACGGTATTTTGACATCTGATGACGTTATGAAATGTCAAAATGACGTCATTGAACGTCAAATGACGTCATTGAACGTCAAAATGACGGTATTTTGACGTCCGATGTCATTAAACGTCAAAATGACGGTATTTTGACATCTGATGACGTTATGAAATGTCAAAATGACGTCATTAAACGTCAAATGACGTCATTGAACGTCAAAATGACGGTATTTTGACGTTCGATGTCATTAAACGTCAAAATGACGGTATTTTGACATCTGATGACGTTATTAAACGTCCAAAATGACATCATTAAACGTCATTTTGACGTCTGATGACGTCATTAAACGTCAAAATGACGGTATTTTGACGTCCGATGACGTCATTAAACGTCAAAATGACGTACACTTGCTACTTGGCTCGCGCGACACATCGCGAAATCGAATGGAAGGTTTCGTCCGCGAATCTACGAAGGAAAGAGTATATAGTTTGTGTTATTTATTACGTTGCGCTGAGATATGACGTTTTCACACGCTATTATCCGCAATGATTTTTCTGCAACAGGCAGGACGGACGTGAGATATAATTTATGTCGCTCTCGAGCCATTCGCAAGCATTTTTTCACAGTTTTCCCCTTTATCTTTTAGTGGGAGTCTCGACACTTCTGCGGTATTATTATTATAACGCCACGCCGGTCTAAACACTATATGTATGATAATCGATCTTTAAGAGCCTTAAGATCAGTGGCACGTCGAACCTGTATTTCTAGACTGGCTATTAAATTTCTTGTCACCGCGAATGCGGCTCGTGGAGAAGACCTTCGTGTTCGTTGTTGATAACGACAAAATTTCTTTCTCTTTCAAATATGCAATTATACAGGGTGTAACTAAAGAATCATATATGGTGCACCCCATTTTGTGGTCAATTTAGGAACGATTTTTTCTCAGCTGTCGAAGGAGATCATTTTTTGTCAGCTTTTGCATCATTATAAGTCGTAAATTAAAATTCTATCAAAATAAACTTTACTTGAATTTAATTTAAAAATGTATAGTTTTATTAATATTTTAACTTTACACTGCAAAAAAATTTGTTAATTTGACTGAATCTTTCAATTAAATTATTATTTTGGTATTTGAACATGTATTAGTATTTAAGTCAAATATACGTTTTGTTAGATTTAATGTTATATTTACATAATTTAAATATTTTTACATGTTTAATTAACAAAATAATATTTAATTGAAAGATCAAGTTAACAAATTTCTATTTTCAGTGTACAAAGTTTAGTTTGCGAGCTTTCTTTTTTCAATCATCATTGATAACTTGAAAATTATTGGTGCTTTGACATTTTCACTGAGAAAAAAACTGTCTCCAAATTCACCAAAGAATTTGATAGTGCGTACATGTTTGTTCAGGTACACCTTGTATTTATTTTCGTACACAAATTACTTCAATCTTTTTTGTTAACGCAAATTCAATTGGTTATAATTAACGTATAATGCGAGCATATAAAGGTCAATTAAATTATATCGCCGCGATAATTACTTATTATTATTCAATATTGACGTGTGTCGTTTTACCACCAAATTTCCCTGCGAATATAAAATTGACCAAATATTGATCGAATATCTTAGCCGTCCATTCGATACATCGATGTCTATTTACATACAAACATATACAAATATACTAGTTATTGATTAAACTTTAAAATTAGGTAAAATAGTAGTTCTTGTTCAGATGTAATCTGTGTAGTTTGCATTTTTAACCAGTAACCTCGATTTCTCAAAACAAAGATTATTTGTTTTGTCAAAAATTTAATAATATTCTTAAACATTTCTAACCAGTTGCTATATATATATTTTTTTACATGATATATTTATAGGAAAATAACTAATAATTTATTTGTCGTATAATCAAAAGCTTCTTTATATATTATTAACAATGTTAAAACAATAATATCGTAAAAAATAGCTGGAACATTTGATAACTTTGCTATATAAAACCTAATGTGCAAAACATACATGCGAAAAATGCTTCTTATACTACGCTTCTATCAAATTTTGAAGGCGCAGACACGTTTTTTCGTTTCACATTTCCTATAATATTTCGATCTTACATAGGCAAATGTGATGTTTGCGTTCAAACAATATTAGTGTCTTATCCCGTCTCATTTTTTTCACGAGGATAATTATATACAACTATACGAGATGATTTTCACCGGCAGCAGGGATTTCTGCTTTTATTTTGCTCAGTTTTGCGTACAGCGCAAGACTTAAATGTACGAATAATTTAACATGCAGCGAAATTATCACCCAGTATGAGCGAAAGAAAAAAAGTCCAAGGGTCGAAGAAGATAAAATAAGATTCCTCGAATCTTCCATTCAAGTTCACGAGCGCGATTTCGCAGATGTTGCCGTCGGATACCGGACGCCGATATCGCTGGTAACCGCTGGTAAACTGCGAGTTCGATGGTCTCTTGACGTTCAAAAACTTGGTATCGGATGCATATAGAATGTATGTGTACGACACATTTTTTTGTAACATTTGCGATTAATCAATTCAACGTTATAAAAGACATTTTTTCTGCACCGAAAATTCTTTTTACCGCATAATTCATTAGAAATTTTATCATGTATTTGGTAATAAGCTGAAAATATTGTATACTATTCTACTTAAAACACTTAAGAATTCTGCACTGAAAAAAATGTGTTAACTTGACTAAATCTTTTTAACTAAATTACTATTTTGTTAATTGAACATATATTAATATTTAAGTCAAATACACGTTTTATTTAATTGAAGTATTTCTATATGTTCAATTAACAAAATATTTAGTTAAACGATTTAATCAAGTTAACAATTTTTTTCAGTGTAAGTTTTTAATATATTTTAAAATTATCGTGGAATAGAAATTTTACTATATATTTTAGTAAAATTAATCAAACAAATTTTATATCTTATTGTGGTAGGTAATACTATTTTTTATTGTGGTAAATATTAATCAGAGAAACTCATAAAATTCTTCCTATACTATAATATTGTGTCCCACGATTACCATGAATTTCAAGATAAATTTTAAGAGAAAATTCTCTGTGTGATATTTATACCTATATTTAATGGAAAATAAAATTATATTAAATTTTATATTTTTGCAAGTCACATATAAATCTTAATATACTACTACAACAAAAATGAAAAAATTATTTGAATTATAGCATATATATAAAGAGAGAAAGAGAAAGAAAGGGAGATAGAATTTTATAAAGATTTACATTTGTCGCATAAAATATTTTTATTTTTTGCTAATAACTTGAAAAATTATTGAAATTTTACTATATATTTTAGTAAAATTAATCAAACATATTTTATTGTGGTAGATGTTAATATTTCTTATTATAGTAAATATTAATCAAAGAAAAACTCTTATAAAATTCTTCCAACACACAATTACCATAAATTTCAGGGTAAAGAGTAATTAAAAAATTGTACAACACCAAGAGAACCTATAATAGAAGACTATAATATATATATTTAATAATATTCCGGTGTCAAATCAAAAGTTGTAGAATTTTTAAATTATGCACAGAGCAATTAAAAAATTGTGCAACTCTTGATTTGACATCGGAAGATTACACGCAAGATTAAATATATACCACAGTCAGTCTCCTCTCATCGCATGGCTAGTAATAGGTTCTCATGTATCTAATACTCTTTAGATAGCACGAGAGACAATATAGAGAAGATGAAAGAATGAGGCCGCGTCGAGAGTCGCCCAGCGTGAGCAGGAGAAAAAAAGATATTGAGGAACGATAACTCTTAATTCCACGCGCTGTCGGCAGTCCTGTTGAATTGGGCGTGCTACACATCACTGGTCCAAGTTTGTATATAAAGACGCCCCCCTTATTCGATGTAAAACGATTAAAAGATTAATGATAGCTTTCAGTTAGGAATGGACCGCGTCCAATTTTCGTCCGCAAAAAATTCTCTCGTCTTGCGCGTCATTTTCGCGCGCAAAAAATGTAACTGGCCGCGAAAGTATCTATGTACACGAGGAAAACCTTTTTATTCTTATTTTCTTTATTATTTATTATTATTTTCTTTTTTATTATTTATTTTTTATTTATTATTATTTTATTTTTTATTATTTATTATTTTTTATTTATTAATATTATTATTATTATTATATATAAAAATTATATACCTATATTATAATTTATGATATATATTATATTTATATTAATTATTATATATAATTATAACAATAATAAAAAATAATAAAATTAAAAAATATATATATATATATATGTGTGTGTATGTGTGTGTGTGTGTGTATTTTCATTCATACAGAAGAACGGGGGATCGAAGCGCTTTGCATAAGTCATTGTTTAAAGTGTCGTGGCTTAGTACGGTAATGCGTATAGTAAATCGCATGTACACGCCTGACATTTCGTTATTATTGTATGGATTCGTAAGACAGGAAATCGTACATCATATACGAACCTACAGTGGGCGGATAAAAGGGAACGAGTCACCTTTTCTCTCTTTCTCTCCCCCCTCTCTCTCGGCTCTCATTGACGTCTTTTTAATAATGCTGGCTTGAACAGCTTATACGATCTCTGTCTTATTTCTCTCTCAAAGTTGCGCGTGAGGGTTTTTACACGTGAAAAATATGGTATATCTGCTCGTATTAATTTTTGCAATGCACTATTATATTGTAAGAAATATGGAAAATTACATAATTAATGAGTGTAAAATTATTTATGTAATTTTACATATTTTTTTGTGCAGTGTACGTTTAATCATAAAAACTTTTGCAATGTCAATTAGACGCTATAAATCACGACTAATCTTTGTGTTCTGATGAATATTTTTCGCAGAGACATTTTCAAAAATTTGAGAATTATTTTA